GGGTGTGTGAAAGGGAGGACACACGAGGACAGCAAGTCTCTGCGTCAACTGGGTATGCAGCCAGTAGGAGCAGCCGCCAGCAGGTACTGAGCTCCTATCAACACCCACGCCCCTCCGATCCAGAGGATGCCCCTCCTTACCTGCTTCAGTTTGCTCATCCCTGCCTATGACGGAAGTGAGCCCTGCTGGAAGGGGCCTGAGCAGTGCTTCTTGCTTTGCCTCTGCAATGACCTCTCTTCCGCTTCCTGGGCCCAATTTGGTAGAGACTTCACATCTAACCTACTTGCCTTGTGTTCCATTGTTGAAGCGTTCCTGTTACCCTGGATAACTCTATCCTTTGGTGCCCACCCATTCCCCACTCTCCTCCCCAGTCTGGCCCCAGGTGGGAACAAACGTACAAGGTGATACTACTGGTCTAGGACTTGTTCCAGAATCTTCTACTACATAGAATCTCCCTCCTTTACTCTACCCTAGGACTTGTTCCAGAATCTTCTACTACATAGAATCTCCCTCCTTTACTCTATCCTAGGACTTGTTCCAGAATCTTCTACTACATAGAATCTCCCTCCCTTACTTCCTTCAGCTCGCTGTTACAGCCCCAGGAAGTGGAAGGCTGTGCTAGGAGGTGAGGACTGAGGAGCCGCCAGCTCCTCACTGCTTCCTGAATGCCCATGACTGACGAGGCAGCCGATGGGTCACCAAAGAGCCCAGTAACTTTCACTCCCATCCAGGCTCAACCACCCCTTGTCTTTCTTTATGGATAGAAATGGCCAGACAGTACTCTTAGATAGATATAAAGTCCTGTGGTCCTCACTGGCTCTGCCCTCAGATCCTTGCTAGTGCCTTGGTCCTAAGGAATCAACCCCCTGAGGATGATGCTAGGACCCTGGAGACATCTCAGACGACCTGGCCTTTGAGCACCTGCCCATTAAGGGTCCTAGCTGGGGCTGTGGAGGGCAGCCCTGCTGAGGGCGGCGGCGTCTGCTGCCTCACTGGCTACTCAGGGCTGATCAGGGAAAGGGGTCAAGTCTGCTCTTCCCCATGTTGCATATGCCCACCCTGCTCTAAGGTTCCCTGCTGGGGCCATCAGTTCCTAGGGACCCTCAGGGCCTCAGATTTTTAACCCAAAGCTTCCTGAGCAGTCGAGAAGCTTCGGGCTCCCCTTTGTCAGGCCCTAAAAATAACCAGGCAGGAGGAACTCTGAGCAGCAAGCAAATGTGCCAGCCAGCACCCCACGCAGCGGAAGCACCTCCAAATAAGGCCTAGGCAGAGAGGAAGCCAGCCTCCAAGCTCATCACCACTGACGTGGATTCCAGAACCTTCCCCTCCCTGCACCTCAGAGTCTCCCCCCAGAGCCTGTGTGACTCAGGGGCCTGGAGTCTGACATGTTCGGGGTGCCCAGTGCTCACTAGACAATTCATTACAGTAGTCTGTTCTTGGGTCCTGGAACTTCTCTGGTCAGTTTGGGGACCTTAGAAGCTGCTAGCTGGGGTTGTGAACTTAGAGGTATGGACTCTTAGGACAATCAGTCACGCCTTCCCAATCTCAGTGGTCATTGTGTGGCCTCACTCAAGTTACCATGGGGGCCCAAGGGCTTCCCTTCCCCACTCCTTTGGCCTCACTGGGAAATGAGACCAGATGGATATAAGGAGGCCAACATGGGATGGGACAGTGACACACAGCTGTCCTCGCGCAGAGGAGGTGTTGCTGGGTTCCTTATGGCTTCCTGGGAACACCATATGGACCTCACTCAAGAATGGGGGAGGCTAGACGCAGCATCCCCATTAACTTCTTCCTGTCCTCTCTACCCGGGGCTCCTGGCAGGAGTGTGGAGCTACAAGCCAGGACTTCTGGGTTCTGAATGACCTCCTTGGCTGAACCTCACTGAGTTCACAGTAAACATGGGGCTGGGACCACTCCTCACCGGCCAGCACCGGCATGTACCCCCACCTGTCCTCCATATCTGTGAGAGCACCCCAGGCCCTGCTGAAGTTCAAGGACTCTCTCAGAATCTCCTCTGCGAGTCCCTCCATAGGACAAACTCAACCCCTAATGAACCAAGACCAGAATGGGAGAGAGGGAGGATGGACATGGGCTGAGGTGAGTAGCGGTGAGTGATTCAACCAAAGAAACATGACCCTTCCTTTATATACCAGGCTTTGCGCAATCTGCCTGAATCTGCAACAAGCACCCAGCCCTAGACTTTCCTAAGACCTCCCTCTGGGTGGCCTGGCGTGGCCTGGCCCCACCCCTGGTTCACCCCTGGTCTCTCTAAACTCATCATTGCCTTATATCAGCCTGGTTCTGGTCAGGACATGGTCCTTGAAGCAGGCACACGTGAAGATGTGCTCAGGGGAGGTTCTTGACAGCCCAGCTGCTGAAAGGGACCCTGGAGCACAGGACACACAGGTAGTCCTAGTAGTGGCTCCCAGGGGAGAGTCTTCCAATGTCTGTCTGCTTGTGCTGAACCGAATGGAGGGATGGTGAGGACAGGTATTTGTAACAGCTTCCAGCATCCGGAGGGGCAGAACCACTACCATTGTCCCACTATATAGAAATGGGCTGCTATGCCTTCCCCCTCCCCCAGGGGGTCTCCTGTGCATATGCAAGGGAGCTGGGAAAGCTCACTGGTTCCCTTTCCAGATTGACACCAAAGCAAGCGCTAAGATGGAGTGCTGACGGGCGCTGGTCTGGGCCTTTCATGGACTGGCAAATGCGAAGTGCGTCTGCGCCAAGGGGGCTTGGCACAGGGTCAGGTAGGACAACTTAGTCTCCCTCTAGAGCCACACACATCCCAGCACTCGGGCTGCCACGCTTCCTGCTTCCGCTGGGTTCAGACCCTTCCTCACCACCCATCCTAGAGTCCCCTCTGGATTGTTCGCCCAAGGCTGTCCCCACCCCACACTCCTCCGCGCTCCCCTCAACTAAATTCTTCTCAGCGGTTAATTATAGCTCTGCGCAGGCTTCGGGACTTTTTTAAAAAGGCACTTTTAGTTCATTTGGTTTCTTTGGGAATCTACCTCAGACACATCGCTTCACAGTGCTCATAATATCTGGCTACTCTCAGAAATGCTGGCATGTCGGGTCCCCCTTGCCATCCCCAATATGGGCACTGTGTTTTCTCTGGGTCACCTTGCTTAGGAAGCCGCTGTGTGCCCCTGCAGGGCCCCTTTGCTAATTCCTGCTTCTGCCTGTCACTTCCTTCTTTGTCTGAGTGCAGCAGTGAAAAGCAACCACCAGCTCAAGTTGGATTCCTCCCACGTTAATTGTTAGCCTTTCTTGGTGTCTGATGTAAGCATTTTTAGGCCATCGGCTTTTCTCAACATGTCACTCGCATTCCATCCTACAGGTTCCCATAGACATTATTTTTGTCGTTCAGTTGTAATTATTTTTCTAATTTTATCAGGAATACTTCCTTGGCTAGGCAAGTTAGTTTATACATGTTTTAAGGGCTTTAAGCTGTAGGATTTTGAAAAACAAAATCTAGCAATTTATGATTTTTTTTTCTGACAGGGTCTTTCTTCTTAGGTAGTCCAGGCTAGTCTGGAAGTCTCCATCACCCCATCTCCCCTCACAAGTGCGAGGATCAGAGGCGTACACCCCTGCTTGTGATAGTTTGACTACCATGCTGGTAGACTGTAGCCTGTACAGCAAATGCTAGGTTGCATAAGATGTGAGCATCCTCATAAATATTCCATACGCATTTTCTCAGCCTAGAGAAGAGTCACATGCTCATTATGTCAAGACGATCAGTTGTATGGCTCAAATCTGAGCTCTCATAAAATCTGCTTCCTGTTTTTTCACACACACACATGCACACACACACACACACACACACACTCGACTCCTGGGACTTTCTCGGAGATGACAAGTGTCTTTGGGAAGCTACAGAGAGAGACGGCTGCTAGCTGGGGCCCCTCCACAGCTTGAGAAAGGGGCTGGTCACAGGGAAGCTGAAGGCAGGACTAGTGGGTGGAGATGGCCAGTCTCCTGAAATATCCAGGAAAGGAAAAGGGACTAACGGCAAAGGTTAAACTGGTCACCAGTGGTCAACCAATTATTTGGGATGGGTGTGTCCTCAGAGTTTTGGAGGTTGCACTTCAAGACCAAGGTGTGGGCGGGTTGGTTTCTCCTGAGGCCTCTCTCCTCGGCTTATGGATGGCTGTGTTATTCCTGTGTCCTTGTGATCTTCCCTCTGCCTCAGTCGGTGATCTATTAACCATGCCTACATAATGACACCTCCACAAAAACCCCAAAGGACAGAGTTAAGGAAGCTACCCAATGGCCAATTACAGAGCCCCCTAAATGCCCCTAAGGACCTGAGAGCCTGAGATGGGGCATGGGAGCCGAGCACTCAGAAGTCCAAGAAGACTTTCTACAGCCTGGCGGGGGGGGGGGGGTTGACACTTTGCCCAGGTGTGGGATGGAATTGAATTTGAAGGGCATCCAGCTATTGAGGACACAGCCTCTGCTCCTCTGGTGGCGGAAGTGACTAGTCAGCCAGGAGACTCTTTCCTGCTGTTTTTCTCATAACCTTTCGGTATTTTGTATCTGCTCAGCCATTCAGTAACTGCAAAAGACATGGAAAATTCCCACTGTCGTAGTGGAAAATTCCCCATAGTCCTGTCAAATGCTGCTTTGTGTGTTTGGAAGGACGCAGGGTGAGAACAGCTGGGTCTTCCTGGAGCATAGAGGTTCTGGGTCATTCTGAAGCAGTCATCCCTCGGACAGGGTTGGGACTTTTGACCTTGAGCCTACCCTGTCTGAGACTAACTTAAAGCCCCGCTGTCCTTTGCTGTTTCTTCAGGGTATTCCTCAGGACAGCACATAACTGCACTTAGAATCCATTCGCACAGCTCTGAAATCTTTCCCTACATTTGCTGTGCTTACTGGCGTCTTTTGGTTGTCTCCCCCACCTCAGATCCCCAGGTCTTTCCACCTTTTGTGGTAGCTTTTAGAAGTCCCTCTTCTTTTCTGCAATAATTGCATTTCGTACACAGTTAGTTCAGATGCACTCTCGTCTTGTACTGGTGTGGGAAGCGCACGGGCTCTTTCTGCTCCCTCTTGTCATCTTCTGTGCCCTATTGGCCAGAAGATCTAAGATGTATCAAGGGGGCGCCACATCCGATAGCACAAGGATCTCAGAACTTTGCTCTGGTCCTTGTCCTCACGCAGGGGCTCTAAATGCTGTTTCAGTTCTGTGTTTGAGAATTCTGCAAGTGGGGCGCTATTGCCCTGCTTTTGCAGATGGTGTAAGGTGCTACCTATGTGTGGGCTTCACCTGGGTGCACTGGCTGAGGTCCCAGGCTGACTGAGCTAACTACATCTACCCAATGGCATCTTCTGCCACGGTCATCGAGAAGCCCCAGGCTTTGTGTCCCCATAACTCTACCCACGCCTGCAAGGAACTGCTCTAATTTAGTTGATGTGTGGTTCCTGTTTAAAGGCTTCTTTGAGATTTTTGTGACCATTCCCAGCACAGAAAGAGGTGCAAAGAGAGTGTGGGGAGCTTCGTGGCCTGTTCCCCAGCTTCCCCCCAGCTTCGCCTCCCACTAGCACCTTGCATAACTAGGGCCCAGTGAGCAAAGCACAGCTCATTTCAATACTGCTCTATAGATTAATCCATATCTTAAATTTTTCCACTAAGCACATTTTAAAAACCACCCATCTGGTTGTGACGTGTGCATTCGATCTGTTACTTTTTCCTCTTTCCTTTCTCAACATGGGTTATTTTAATTAAAAAAATAGATCTATAGCCAAGTATATAGCTCAAATTACACAAAACTATACTCAACAGCTTTCTCGGCACATGGAGACCAACGTGGCCTTAAGTTCTTGGATTTCACCATTTCATTCAAGTTTAGCAAGGCGCCGTTTATATATGCACAGAAAAGTGAATGAGTGTTGTCAAGTGTGTACACATCAGCTCCACCGCTCTGTGAGTTGGGCTTGCGGAAGTGCAGCAAGGGACAGGATGCAGAATAGTATCCCAGACCTCCAATCCTGTTTCTTGTCAAGCCCTCTCCTGACAACCAGGCCTGGGTTTTTTCTTAATTCTTCAACACTGTGGTTGAAACCAGGCCTCACACATTGTAGGTGAACACCCTAGCACTGAGCCATACCCCTCTTGCTCTTTAAGCCTTGAGTCAGGGTCTCCAAAAGATGCCCAGCCTTCTAGTCTGTGGACTTGTGCGGTTGGCATTCTTTTCAGGCAGGTGTGTGTGCACATGTGCATGTGGGTACACGCACCTCTGTATGTGTGTGTAGAAGCCAGAGGAGAACACTGAGTATCTCTGTTATCATCATCATCATCATCATCATCATCATCATCATCATCATCATTTTGTTGGTGCCATTAGGATGCTGGATCTAAACTCAACTCCCCCTTGCTCTTACCCACTGCACCATCTCCCCGACTCTAGGCTGGTGTTTTTTCACTTAGGAATCTGCATGTAAAGCTCCTGTCATGGCTTAGCTTGCTGCACGTTTTAATGGCCCATTGTTTGAACATGCTGTAGTTAACCCACTCTACTACTGAGAGCTATCTTGGTGGCTTCTAGGTTGAGGAAGTTATGAGTGAAGTTGCTGTCAGTTTCCAGCTCTTTTCAGTAAATACCTTGGACTGCAATGTCTGGACCAGAAGGTCAAAACTGTATCTTGTCTTCCTCTGTGGCCATTTCACCTGCCTGCCCTCATCGGCACTGGCTGGTGTCATGCTCTGTCTTGTGTTTTAGTGGTTTTCAGCCATCTTACTACACACGTGGTGCCCATTGCCGCCATGACTTGCTGTTTCCTCCACTGTTTATGAGCCCAGGGCCAACCTCTTCATTCTAAAAGCAACTGTCTCTTGTAGAGCAGAACATCTGTGAAGAGCTTGAACATGTGGGCGGGGGGATCGGGTGCTGAATGTACTTTTTGTGTTGACCTAAGGACTCGTTGCTAAATTCAAGGTCATTCTGTTTGTTTGTTTTTTTTCCTACTGTCTTCTAGGAGTTTTCAGTTTTTTTGTACTCTAATGTTCATTCTGGTGGTTTTGGTTTTGAAACAGCATCTAATTATTTAATCTAGGTTAGCCTGGAACACAGCATGTAGCCCACGCTGGCCTCAGGCTCAAGGCACGCCTCCCAGCTCAGTTGCCCTATTGTTAGAACTGCAGATGTTAGCCACAACCCCTACCCAGTCAATCTGATAACTTTATTTTTAAATTAAAAAAAAATGAAACTTTACTATTAGTTTATGGTGTGGATGCTTCCTTTGTACGTATGTGTATTACTGAGCGTGTGCAGGGCCTGCAAAGTTTAGAAGGGGGTGTTGGATCCCCTAGAACTAAAGTTGCAGATGATCCTGAGACACTGTGTGGGTGTTTGCTCATTTTCGTGTGAGACAGTAGATGAGAGCATCCTAGCCACACTGTGTTGCCTTTGCCGCTTCATCCAGGCTCAGGAGACTGCACAAGGCTCCTCCAGGGCTCCAGACGGATCTGCCCATTAGTTTGTCTCTGATCAACTCTGCTGCCTTCGGCTTTGCTTATTTCTGTTCTGTTTCTTTGTTTGATTCTTCTGTTTCCTCTCTGCCTTGTCTATTTGATTCTTTTCTCTCTGTCCTGTCTGATTCCCTCCCCCTTTTCTGTCTTGTTTCTCTGTTTGGTTCTTGTTTTCTGTCTTGTTTTCCTGCTTCATTCTTGTCCTCTGTCCCTCTTGGTGCCCGATTCTCCCGTCTTTTGCTGCTCTGTTGTGACATCGCCACTGTCTGCTCACCGCATTGCTTCTCAGAGCATGGCAACAGCGGTGGCTCAAAGTCTTTGGAAAGTCACCCTCAGGACCCCGTCTAGCCTGTGTCTGTTGTGTGTTCTTTCCCCTGCAGTCATTGAGGATTTTCAGATTCTTTACAGAGCATTTAATTTTGGATCACAAAACTGGCTTTTCAAATGGGGGCTTTAGATTCTTGGCTCTATGAGGCATCTGTGCGCCTGGCCCTCTCCAAGGTCAGGCACCAAGGGAACAAGGAGAAAACAGAAAAGCAAGAGCATCCCCTACCCTCTCAGTCCCCACTCTTGCCTCTGAGGTCTGTGTCTTCAGTGCTCACTTAAGATTTCCCAAGACTGGAGCATCAGACAGAAGCACACAGAAGACAGAGCTGTTCTCCAACTGTCCCCCGAGGTGTTCCACCACTTCGCCCACACCAGGCGTCAGCTGACTGTCTGACTTGCCAAAGAAGCCTGGAAGGATCTGGAACCTTGCTCCAGGCACATCTCCCTCGCTCTTCCCAAACTTCTGCTTCTCTCCCTGTATTCGTAGGCCCCGAGTCTTCCATCCCAGACTGAGAGCTGCGCACTGTGTTCTTCACCCATTTGTCTGTAAAGCTGCTGCTTGTCCTGGCGTGTCCGTATGTTCTGCAGCCCACCTGCATCAGTGACTTCTCTCCTTGCCGTGACAGAAACATGACAGAAGCAGCTTGAGGAAGGAAGGGATTAGTGTGTCTCACAGTCCAAGGGACACAGTTCACCGTGGCAGGAGTGCGATGCAGCTAGCCAGTCACATTGTAGCCACAGCCAGCAAGCAGTCCTGGTACTCCGTGTGCGGTCTCCTTTCTATTCGGTCTGGAACTCCAGGCCACACGACGGTGCCACCACTGTTCAGGGTGGGGCTTCCCTCCTCCATTGAACTTTTCTGAATTCATCCTCATAGACACACCCAGATGTGTGTTTCCATAGTGATTCCAAGTCGAGTGGGCTGTAGAAAACCATCGCAGCCTCACAGTTATTGCTAATGTCTCCTCATTTCATCCATGTATGTCAGTAGACACATGCCCAGTTGTGGTGATGCTTCCCATGAGCTGCCTTCTTTGTCTGTTTTGCCATAGATTTTCATTTTAATTTAATTTCAATGAAGTCTGTTGAATATATATCCAGAAGACAACCATACCACGAGGACATGTGCTCATATGTTCATAGCAGCATTATTCGTAATAGGCCAGAACCTGGAAACAACCTAGATACTCCTCAACTGAAGAATGGATAAAGAAAATGTGGTACATTTACATGATGGAATATTATACAGTGGTAAAAAAAATTAATGACATCTTGAAATTTGCAGGAAAATGGATGGATCTAGAAAAAAAATATTGAGGTAACCCAGACCCCAAAACACAAATATAATATGTATTAAAGTGGCTTTTAGACATAAAGCAAAGAAAAACCAGCCTACAGGCCTCAACCCCAGAGAAACTGGAGAATCATGAGGACCCTAAGAGAGACATATGTGGACCTACATGGGAAATAGAAAAAAAAAAAAAAACAAGATCTCCTGAGTAAATTGGGAGCATGGGGATCACAGGAGAGAGTAGAAGGGGAGAGAGGAGAAAGGGAGAGGAATGGAGAAAATGTATAATTCAATAATTTAAAAAGATTATGGATTTGTGTGTTTCTCCTGTTTTGGAGAATTTCTCAGAATTTCATCTCATTCTCTTTAGCCCTTCCTGCTGTGCTAATTTTTGTCCTAATCTAGTGTTCCGTGCATGGGAATTTTGTCTGCTGTACTGTTCAGTGTGGTATCTGAAGTTCCTGGTGCTAAAATCTGTGGAAACCCCTCTTTCATCTTCCATAGTGAGGCTTCTGATCTCTTGTCTCTAAGCATCCGACAGGGGTCCATTTGTGGTTTAACGCAGTCGCCTGAATGAAGAGGGCTTATGGTGGGAGCACTCACAGGAGTGAGGCTCTGATCCTGCTCTTGGCATGGGTGGACACTATTGTCCTGCGGACCCTTTGGAGCCCTGACCTAGTGTGGGCTGGGTTCAACTCCCTTCTCTGTAGGAGCCAGGGCCTGTCTTCTAACCCCATCCCCATGTCCTCATCAGTCCTCAGGGCCTTCCCTCATCACTCTTGTGTCAGCCCACTGTTTGGGGGTCTTGACTGTTTTTAAGCCTTTAGAAATATCTGGTGACACATAAAACTAATTATTTTAATGTGCCCAAGATGGAGGCATGTTGGTTTTAGTGGGAGCGTCTATCACACACACTATAAAAGCTGGGGACCCCCCATCACACACCCCTAGTACTCTGGAGAGACATACCCTTCCCCTTCCTCAGCCCAGCCTCTCATGGGCATCCCGGACAGTGGACCGCTCTTCTCATGCTGTCTCTGCTCTCAGTTCTCATGACCCACCCAGCCTCTGGCTCATTTTTCTTGCTCTGGCTGCTTATTCTGAGTGTTGTCTGTGGGGCCATGCTGCTCCAGCCACACCGAGATCTGTAATTTTGATGTCCCCTGTTGTAGATAGAGCTGTGACCCTGGACTTTACCTGCTAACAAGGGCTAGGGGCTGGATGGACTGACTTGGAAGTTCTGTTCCTAGAGGGCATCCGGAACCTCTTCAGCTCCTTCCTGCTTCTGATTCCTCCTCAATCCTGCTGCCTCCCCTTTGGGGATGTGGCTTGCAGGTGGGGGTGTTTAGTAATTTTTGGGTATCTGATATGACCCAGCACCTCCACCCTGAAACGGCACAGTACATCTGAGCATCTCTTAGGAGTCTATGTGCCTCCTATACAGCCACACCCGAGGCACTGGCTGTATTTATATCTGTTTTCCACACCCTGAGTCTACCCTGGTAGCCTCCATGGTATCCTAATGCCACTGTGGTAGGCAAAGGTACTGTGCATGACTGAAGGGCCTGAATGGGCTTGGGGAAAGTGTCTTTGCTGGAGAGAATGGATATCCGCAGGAGAACCATGCAACAGCAGAGAAGCAGCCAAGCTGATTGTGAGAATGGTGTCCCCAGAAAGCTGGAAGTCCCACCAAGTCCTGGGTGTCAGCTAAGCAAAGGTTGTGGGCAAGCAAGTAGGAGAGGTTCTGTGGCCACAGGAGAGAGGCAGGTATTAAGCAGGTTCATGGAAGACCTACCTGCGGACAGGCAGATGAACTGGGTAGGCAAGGGGTCAAGTGGGCATGTGGGACAGCCTGGGCCTGGCTGAGGACAAAGTAGGGCTGGAGAAGAGGCTGCTGAGGGTGGCTCCTAGGGCCTCAGGGTCTTGCTTGAATATGGCAACACCTATTCTGAAGACTCCAGCTCTTGCTGCCTAGGGGAGCATTATGGTAACTTCTGGACTTCTGAGTCATGCACCCTTCCCACCCCCACAGCCTATGGAGTTGAGATTAAAAGGGAGAGTTGGTCTGACCTGTTGCACACATGTCTGGGAGGAAGCCAGAGATACTCTGTGGCATTTAATAAAGATAGGACTCAACAAAGACAAAAATAAGGACAAAGCAGCCTCAGCTTCTCACATAGTGGGACAGCTCTATGACATCATCCCAATGGTTCAGGTAGAACTTTCTGGTTCTGGAGTCTGTGTCATGGCTGAGGGCCTCCAAATCTGCAGGAGAGACCGCAGGTCCAATCAGGAGCTTGCTGTGGAACTGAGTGGCCCAGTGGACCCACAGTCTGGATGGGGAAAGTGAGCTCCCCCCAGTGGCATCTCCCACCAGAAAGTTCCCTCGGGTGTTGGGAAGGCAAGCCTCAGCCACCCAGGGGTGCACAGGCTCCACTCACTCACAGTTCTTCAGGATGATCACATCGTCCTTTGTCAAGTAGAAGCAGAGTTCATTGAAGTAGTCCTGAAGCAATCCCCCTGGGACAGTCAAGGAGGTGGTTAGCAATGGCCACCCTTGCCCACTGAGAGCACTGGCCAACAGGGACGCCCCACCCTCTCACTGTCATAGAGCTACTGCTCCTGTGGTTGACCCGGGACATGTGAACCTGACCACCAACTGTGGTAACGCAGGCCATGGGACATGAGGTAGGGTTTGCAGCTGCTGAGTCAACACGTACCGATGAACCTCATGGCTGCCAGCTTCAGGTTCTTGTGGGGGCTGTCCAGATACAACAAGGCCTGACTGAGAAACTGCTGGTGGCTGCCGAAGTTGCTTTCTATCTGAAGAGAGAAGAGAGGGCCTGTGACCATATTGAGGGTCTGTGTGGTATCTCACTTCAGGGACATGGCTTTCCTGAGGTACCCCCAAGCACTGAACTCCATTTCCAGTGCTTAGGGCCTGGAAGAGAGGAGGGTGGGCACCAGAGAGTCCCATGGGAGATCTGGAGGGGTGGTGGGTAGTGCTGGCCCAGTTCCTTCATTTGGTTCAATGAGGAGAGCCCATGCCGAGTTCTGGAAGCACCCGTATTTGTGACCGTTGCCAGCATCACTCTGGAGACCACCCAGCACACCTCTGCCTATCCCTGACTAGTTGTCGTCTCCTCACAGACCAGCAGCATATGTCCCACAGCCCCAAGCCACCAAGGTCCCCTGCAAGGCCCATGTCATGAAGAGGGGGAGGCAGGCTCATCCTTGGCAGCTTCAGTATCCCTGCTACTTCTCTGCTCTCCTGGGTGTCTTCTGGGCACTTACCTTGAAGTGTGGCCATCACGCCTTGCAGACATGACACAAGTGCCCACGTCATACACAGGCTCTGCCGCTCTGTGTCCTTCAAAGGCCTCTCCTTTTCTAAGTGCCCAGTTCCCTGTCCTCTCTGCTGTGCTTTTACTCTTTAAACTTTGGGTCCTGGTGGCACCTGGACCAAGGTGAAAGAGCTGGAGGCCGCAGCCCAGGCTCTCCCTCAAGGGCCATGCTCCTATTGTCACTGCTGTCAAGGGGCATGTGGTGCCACTGCGTGGGATGGGTAAGCAGGCCAGGAGCTCAGTGGACCCACCCTGTCCAAAGACCACCTTGAGATCTTTGCAGCCACACTTCTAGGCCTTTCCCTTGTGGCCGAACTAGATCCAGTGAGGCCTGTAGACTGAAGACAAGCCTGTCCTGCCTTGAGCATGTGACTTCGGTCCTGTTCAAGAGGCTGGGATTGTGACCCTGACAGCCCAGACCCAGGAAGGCAGAAGAACTTGGGGCCAGAGATTAAAGTGGTTGCTAGGTGACAGGAGGTGGCATTTACTACTGGTCTCTCACAGGTGGGCCCTGCAATGTCTGGACTCTGAGGCTCAGCTGCGTCTGCCTTAAAACTGCACTGGAACATCATGGGGCCTCAGAGGCTCCACTAAGGAGGCCTTGGACACACTCTAGAAACATCATGGAGACTCTGCCAACCTTCCTGGACAGCTCACTTCAAAGAACCCAAACTCCATTATGAAGGGAAAATGCTCCCCCACAGAACCTCAGTACTTAAACACCGTTAGGACTGCCTCTCCCATCCCCATACCCCACCCTCAGAGCAGTCTGGGGTGACTAAAGAGCCATCATTCTCCAACTCCGAGCTCTCCCCTGGAAAGGGGTCCACACCTTACCATGTAGACAAAAATTTCATTCTCAGCGCCGGGCCCTTGGCCCCATGCCAGCTTGCCAAACAGCTCCTTCTGGAACTCCCACTTTAAGAAGATGGCGCAGCGCAGGAAGGTGTACTTGGCCTTCTGTAAGTGGAAAACAGACTGCCTCTGCTTCCACCCGTCATCACCCCCTTTATCCCAGACAGACCCTGAGAAGAGGTTTCTGTAGCAGCACCATCTCTGGACTCCTAGGGTCCTGGGAACTAGTTGGTCCTGGCACAGTTGGTGGGGGCACTAGAAGGGCGTGCATCACCACAGGATGGGATGACCCACTCCCCAAGCCCAGCGTGCCCTGCTCTGACTCTCACAGAGCCTCCCAGAAAGGCTTCCCAGGCCTCCTTCTGAAGAACCAGCTTGGTGTACGAGTCTCAGAGGGGTGGGGGCTTATTCTAAGCTTAGGAAGGGACCTGACTTCCCACAATGAATACTGGCCTGGGCTAGGTTTGTTAAACATGAGGCCTTACTCTCAGAAGCATGGGACAGCTTGTTCCCAGGGCCAGCAGGGGCCAGCCGAGGCCAAGCTTGATCTGTGAGTGTAGATACAAAACTAGGCTAGCTCCTTAGAGAAGAAAAGCTAGAGGCCTACAACACCCAAGGCCCTCACAGCATGGCTAAGTGTTTCAGGGCCACTCCAGGGAGGTGGGGTGTCCCTGAAACACAAGGTTCCTCTGGAGGGGGGGGGGTCATGGCATTAGGCAGGCAGGGTACAAGTAGGTGCTCCAGTGCAAACATGGGCACAGCAGGGCTGGAGAGGAGAAGGTAGAAGTTGGAAGATCCTGAATGCCAGATTCTTGCAGCTGATTTTAGATGGAAGAGTGGAGGTCTGCAGCCAAAAGAGGCTGCACAAGGGCCTGGAGGGATGGATGGATGGATGGATGGATGGATGGATGGATGGATAGATGAATGATGGATGGATGGATGGATGGATGGATGGATGATGGATGAATGGATGGATGGAGTGAGGAATCTGAAGCAGGTGGCTGAGGAAATACCACCAGGATAGAGCCCACTCCTTTTCTCTGACTGCTGGGTTGCCCTACAAACCCAGCCCCCTCTGTTCCCCAGGTGGACTCTCCAAAACACTAGCCTCACTCTGGTCTCCACTCAGAGAGCTGAGTCCACCACCTGGACCTCCTTTGGCCTTGCTCTCCTGACTGCCCCAGCTGAGCTAGAACACACTCACCACGGCCACTTCTGGGCAGGGGTCAGCCATGTGGAAGAGCAGGGGCACTATAGCTCGGAAAGCCAGGATCTTGAGGCTCTGTCGAAACTTCTTGCCACCATAGTGGATGACATCTCCAAACAGGAAGATGGCATGTTCTCGTACCTTTGCTCTTTCCTGGGGGACATAGAATTCTCAGGCAAGTGACAAATCAGCCTTATCCCATGACTTCTAGTTGCCTCACTTTGGCCCTGGTTAGCTCAGGGACAACCTACATTGTCCCTAATCCCACAGACCAGTGTCCCCTTAGTCCCTGACTCCTGTCAACTTCTCTCCCATGCTGTGGTGGTTTGAAAGAAAATGGCTCCCAAAGGGGAGTGCACTATTAGGTGGAATGCCTTGTTGGAGGAAGTGTGTCACTGTGGAGGTGGGCTTTGGGGTCTCAAGGTTCTCTCAGTGTGACAGTCAGTCAACTTCCTGCTGCCCACAAGATGCAGAACTTTCAGCTACTCCTCCAGCACCACATCTGCCCGCATGCCACCATGTTCCCTGCCATGATGACAATGGACTGAACCTTTGAAACTGAGGCCCCTCAATTAAAATGTTTTCTTTGTAAGAGTTTCTGTGGTCATGGTGTCTCTTCACAGTAATAAAAACCCTAACTAAGACATATGACCTTCTCATGTCCCCCATTTCCTCAGCTCCACTCACGATCCCCTCCCAGCCTTCTCTGACTTACTCCTTCTTCCTGATTTCTCACCTCTGGGTTTCTCTGCATGTCCCTGGGGTGACAACAATCATACCTCCACTCCTAGGCAGACCTGACTATGGAATCTGTGACATTTTAGCTCCGTGACCCTGGGCGAGGTTCCTTCCCTGCACCGATTCACCTTTGGTAAACAGTAGCTGGCAACCGTGCCTTTGTCCTTGAATTGAGGTGGATGCAGAACCCAATACCTAAGGGAGTGCCTGCCAATGCCAGCATTGCTCCTTCTACAAACCCTGTCATGACTCAGCCTCTTGTCCATGAAAGGCAGAGACATCTTCTGCCCCAAACTGCCTCCACTGCTACCTCCTTGATTTCAGATGTACAGTAGCCACTGACTGCCTACCTACCTCAACTGGGGCTTATCCTAGCTCTAATCTTCCTGGTTCTAATCTATCACAGGGACACATCGTGGTGGTTTTCCTGGGACTGTCCATGCCAAGAGCAAGCCTTCCTCATTCCTAATCTCAACCCCCTGAAGTCACTTGACTCATGCTGTTTTCAAATGGAATCACTGGTTCTGATGGCCTGAGAACAAGACTCAGCACTGACACAAACTTCAACCAGCCCCAGTCTACAGAATCTGAATTCTTAGATGGGCTCTGGGGATGGTGCAGAAACAGGATGCTGAGTGGTACTGGTTTCTGATTGCTGTCTACAGCCCAGCCCTGCCCTGTTCTGCCTCCCCACTCCACCCACTTCCCAGCTCACATCTGTGAACAGACTGAGAAGGCGCTGAGCAATCTTGAAGCTGGCAATTCCAATGCCATGGACACCCAGACGGTGTAGGAGGTGGCCCATGATCTCCATCAGGCCCAAAAGATCCTCGAACTCAGGCTGCAGGAAGTTGTCCAAAAGCTCCGTCAACTTACTTCTTAGCAGAGTTACCTGCAGGGAGACCACCACCCTCCAGTGGGACCTTTGACCAGTTTCTGCCAGATGTCCCATTGAGGCAGCCAATCATAGCTCTGGGAAGATACTGGGGCTCCTGGCCTTCTTACAAGGTTAGGTATCTGCCCATCTCTGGGTCAGTACAGATGTGGAGGAGGTCTGAGTGCTGAAGCTGGCTGTTCCCAGGTCCACTTCCTATTTCCCCTCATATTGGACAGAAAAACAGACAAAACCGCACCATTTTTTTGGCATAGGCCAGCTCTGCAGCCGCATCCTAGCCCTGTTATGAGAGACATGTCAGAACAGCCCTGCTCTGGGAGTCTGACAAAGGTAATGTGTTGGGTACCTGACAGGAGGTTATCATATTAGGGACTCTTAGCTAGGAAGAGATAAAGGGCCAGTTAGGAGCCCCATATGAGGCAATTTAGCAGGGCCAACTGGGCTTGATCGGCTCTCTCTACCACCCCTTGCACTATCAACACACTTCCTCTGTGCCCAGTCTTCCCTATAACCTTCTGAAATGGCAGAGGGCACCTCTCTCAAACTCCTGCCCCTCACCTTGTAAGGATGCATCAGGGTGCTGCCTAGCCCCTTCAAGCTCAGAACTCGCACTATGTGGTTGCGGCTGGAAAGGCCCAGGTTCAGGGAGTGGTCCATGGCCTTCTGAGACAAGTTCTGGCAGATATCTGGGCTGTTGAGAAACTGGGCAGGGGTCGGCACCATCAGTCCACTTGTTAACCATAACTGCCAAGGAATCAGTCGACCCCACACCATGATAAAGAGTTAGACCCCCAACAGCAAGCACACCTGAAACATGAGACAGATGTACACATTTCTATCAGAGACCTGGAAGGGACGTTCACTGGGGTGGCTGGGGAAAGGCTCACCTCGGTGATGATGCAGATGGCCACGATGTTGTCGCGCTCCTCAGTGCTCTTCAGGGAGATGAGAGCCTGCCCCAAGACAGCCTTGACCTCGCAGTTATAGTGAGCCATGGTCCTGTCACACGCAAGAGGAACACACACAGTCCCAGAGGGCTCCATTCTCCAGTCAGACCTCAGAGCTGGCGGCCAGACTGCTGAGTCTGGAGTGCAGGGTCCAGAGCAGGGAGCATGGGCTGCGCTGGTGACCACTCTGCCCCTCCAAGGCAAAGGGTGCCCAAGCTGAGGGGCTCACCTGGCCAAAAGGGTCACTCCCTTTGGGAAGGTTTCCAAATGCGCAAAAAGCTCCCAGCCCTGGATCAGCTTGACATCAGCAAACACTTCCCAGTACTCGTTGGTCCAAAAGAGGCCCTTGAGGGCTTCCAGGCAGGTCCTGGGCAGGGAGGAACAAGACAGTGCCTGAACCCTGTCAGCTGCATCTACCTGGCTCCCTTTGCTCAGGAGTCTTCCCCCCTGGCCAGGTTGGGTCCTCTGACCCACCCCTACCCTACCTCCACCCAAAATCCTTTCCTGCTTGGGTGCCCCAGAATCAGCATAGCTCAGTGGGTTCAAGGAGGGGACAGTAGCCATCTTGGCTCACCTGCAGGGCCCCAGGGGCTTAGAGGCTAGATTGTCTTCCTGGTAGTCAAAGATACCCTCCACCAGGCCCACCTCCAGCAGGTAGTAGAGTTCTGTGAGGAGGCCCAGAAGGATCCCTGCGAAAGCCCAGCGGACCGTGTCCCTGTACTCCGGGGTGTAGAGAAGCTCATAAATGGTGTCCAGTGCCTGCAGTGGATGACAGCAAAGCCCGGAGGGGGACCCCTGAGTGGAAGAGTGGGGACAGCAGCTACAAAGTCACTCTAGTCCAGGCCTCACTGCCTTCATCTGGCCCCCTTGGGCTCATCATGAAGCTCCTTTGGATAAAGCCCCGAAGGTCCTTGTGGTAATCCTGAGACTGAGCCAGGCCCCATTTCAGTCTCTGTGGCTGGGCCCTGACCTCCTGGCTATGCTGAGACCCCAAGAATGTCTGACTTCCACACTGCTGATCATGCTGTTCTTGGCTTGGCTCCACCTTCTGGTGAGCCAGATCTCTCCAAGTGCCCACCCTGCTGGGAGATCCTTCTCAGACCCTCCTTGACTCTCAGACTCTCCTATCCCGTTGTCTTTTTGTTCCTAACCCTGAGTTTCTGGTGGCTGGCTCCTTCCAACCCCATTTCTTTGGGGTTGGGCTATGGTGTTTGTGGAGGGGAGGGGCTTTCAGGTTGACCATAGAGTCCCCTGGCTCTTCTTCTAGTCAGTCCTATGGTAGCATGTCCACTACCCCACTTGGTCTTCCCTTGAACTGAAAGGTCTCTTTTCAGGGGCCAGAGATGAAGTGGGTCACTGCTAAGTCATGCCCTCACAAAGCCTGGGGGGGGGAGTTCAGGTGCTAGCCTCGGCTCCCAATCAGAGCCGGCAATCTTCACCTCCCACCCTGGCTGTGCTGTCTGCTCAGGGATCCCTCTGCCTTCCCTGGATCCTCTTCTTCCATCTTCCTTCACTATTCTTGCTCTCGCAGCCAACCATGGCCCAGTGCATGGTCACTGTATCTCTGGGTCTTGCCAGGATAACCAAGACTTTCTCTCCTATTTTCCAATGTGTCTAGGAACCACTTGCTGAGAGCTCATGGGATTTTTAGTTCTGTTATGGTCTATGATGGGGCATCCCCATGGAGAAACAAGTGCTGATAGTAGCAGGTGTCTGCAGCCAGGCGGCTGGTCCATCAGTGGGTACCCCAGACACTTAGCAGGGCCATGCATGCAGGGTGGGAGGTTCATGAGCAGGTGCAATGCATTGTCACAAATGACCACAAACCATGGTAAAGGCTCGAGGGTGGGGCTCTTGGAGGAAGTCCAGTGTCCTAGAGGGATCTCTCTGAGGCCCTGGATACCACTACTGACCCTGAGGGGACCATGCTGGTGGCAAAGCAAAGGGTTCTGCTCACCATCAGGGAGACCAGACGGGCCTGATATGAGGAGTGGAGGAGCCTCCTGGGTGGCCGCAGTTTCAACTTTACATAGAGCAGGGTTATAACATCACGAGCTAAGTGGTAGTTGGTAGCCAGAGCCTTCCACAGCAGTAGGATCCACCTGCTTGAGACAGGGTCTAGGTCACCACTGGGAACAGCAGCGCAGAGAGGCCTCCCACAAGTGCTGACCATTCACAGGATGTGAAAAAGCGAGCCCCTTAGGAGCAGCAGGTGAGGGGGCCCAAGATCCGTGATCTGTGATGCTTCGTTAGACATCTGCATGAGCCCCAGCCTTGCAGCCCCTCTCTCCAGGACCCCAAAGCAAATGGCTGCTCTCCAGTCTGTCTTTTCTCTTGGGAAGTAGGGGCAAGCCCCTCAGATGGTTTGAAGAGAAGAGGGGAGCAGCAGAGCCAGAAACCACTTCAGGCAAAGCTCATGAGTCCTCAGTGGCACTTGCCTCTGTCAAGGGCTGTGTGCTCTGAGATGGATGGGCCACTGTCCCTGCCACCTCCCACATTGCCAACTATATACATGTATTCATGAGGTGCTTAGTACATGGCCGGCCACCTAAAGACTGACTGGCTATGGCTACGCTGCTGCCGTCAGCCCACAGCCAGGTGTCAAATTAGTAAAGCTTTGTTATCAAGAGACTGCCACTGGTATCTAGTGTGGCAGCTGGAATCAGGACTCACTGGGGCTCTGTGGTCACAGGGCACCCGTGGATGCATGGAGCAGTGTAACTGTATTTTCACAGCCTCTGACTGGTCTGTGGCTTTGCTTATAGACTGACCTCTGGTGACTGTGAATCTGAAATGGTGTCTATGCCGATGGCCCTCCTGGGACTGCTGGAGCCCTGTTTAATACCCAGACACTTTCAGAGCCCCTCTGGCCACAGTCCGGAGTCAGGAAGAAGACAAAACTGTTGAGAGCCTTTCCCTGCCTAGTGTGTTCAGTAAACAACTGTGAACTGGGCAGGAGGGTCACCACAGGCCTGGGTGATGCCTACACTGTAGTACCCTGGGCCAAGGGAAGACCTACCTATCTGAGGGGTGACATAGGGACAAGACCACCTCCACCACCTCCTGAATATGCTGGGTCCCCAGAGTCATGGTGACCTTACTTATGGTCTGCTGAATACTCTGAGAGCGGATGTTTGGCAGTTCCTGGAACAGGCTTTGCAAGATCTCAGCTACCTGCAGGGCAGAACGCAGCTTCAGACAAGGCAAGGCCCTCTGAGTTTCTGAGAGGACTTGGCCTTATGGCTCATCTCCCAGGCTGCATCTAAGATCTCAGCCACCTGCAGGGCAGAACGCAGCTTCAGACAAGGCAAGGCCCTCTGAGTTTCTGAGAGGACTTGGCCTTATGGCTCATCTCCCAGGCTGCATCTAAGATCTCAGCCACCTGCAGGGCAGAACGCAGCTTCAGACAAGGCAAGGCCCTCTGAGTTTCTGAGAGGACTTGGCCTTATGGCTCATCTCCCAGGCTGCATCTCTTTCTTAAGGGAGGTAGGGTGAACAAGCCAAGAGGAGTGCTGCTGTTGACATGTGAGAGCACCCAAGTGGAGGGGGCCTGGCAGTCCCCAAGGGTGAATCTTCAGTTTAGTTGGCCAAGCCGAACTGGAGGAGAGTTAAATGTGCCCTCTCCCACAGGCTACCTATGAGGCAGCAGAAGGTGGGCCAGGAATCTTCTGGACAAAGGTAACTGCCAGGAGTACATTGGGATCCCACTCATAGGCTGCTAGGCTGATTGCGCGTTGTCTCCGTGACTACATGTGGATGAATGTATATGGCACATGCTCACATGGGCAGGTACACATAGTCTGAAAGGAGCCACGTCCACCCTGCCTCACCTGTTCCTTCTGTAAACTGGGTTCCTCACAGATCATCAGTAGGAGCTGGGCAGCAAGGTCGCAGCGGAGGTAGTTCCAGCTGTCCAGACTGTGCACCAGGGTAAGGATCAGCTGTGTGTGCTGCGCCACTGTCAGGTTCTTGAAGGTCTGTGTAGAGCCAAGGTCAGGAGAGGGGGTGCATGGAATCTCTGGCCAGCACTGGCTCAGGTCAGGCAGCGAGCTAGGCTCTTATGAGAGAGGGAATGAAGGCTGTGTGCCCAGTCATGTAAGTGCCATGAACACAGGCTTGCAGGGTCCCAAAGTGTCCATTCAGCCCCTGCCCCAGGCTGCTATGACCTGTAGTTCTCCCAAATTGGGGCCAAGGCTGGGTGACTGCAAATGTTGCAGCCATAAGTACCCAGCTGCCTCTTCTCTGAAGACTTTCCCTAAAGTAGGAAACAGTCTTGCAAAGAGTCACTCCACCAAGGTCCTGCTGGGTCAGAACGACACTAACTCCTGCCCAACTCTAGCCCCAGTCTTTTTTTTTTTAAAATCTTTTTTAAAAAGATTTATTTATCACATATGTAATGTTCTGCTTGTATGTCTGCCTGCAGGCCAGAGGAGGGGGCCAGATCTCATGACAGATGGTGTGAGTCACCACGTGGCTGCTGGAAATCAAATTCAGGACCTTTGGAAGAAGAGCCAGTGTCCTTAACCACTGAGCCATCTCTCCAGCCCCTCTAATCCCTACCTTATTTTCTTCTCCTACTTCCCCTGAATGGTGGGACCTGAATTTCCATCCACTGTCTTTTAGGAGGGGCCACGAGGACAATAGACTTGGCCTAATCCATGCCCCAGGAGACATGAGATGCTTCTGACCCAGTCTGCCTCAGAAGCTGGACCCTCACTTGGAAGGTAAGAAAACAGAGGCTCGGGAAGATGGGATGACCTACCCAGGGCCTCCTAACAAGTCCTGGAGCTTGAAAACAAACCCTGCCTCCTCTTCCCCATCTGATGTAACAGGCAGGCCAAGCTTGAGAAGAACACAGCAAGGGTCAGAGGGAGGGGTGTCCCCCAAGCTTACCTAGGATGAAGGAGTAGTGCTAACAACAGAGTGTCCCCAGAAGAGCAAGATTGCTGGCTGCCCTTGACCCCAGAGGGAGGTACACAAGTGAGAACCTCTGGCCCGTGGGTTCAAAGGCCCTATCCGAGCTGAGGCTGGAAGGTGAGGTACAAAGACAGACAGTTTTCCTAGAAAGAGCAGAAGTCCATCCCATTCTGGTTCTGCCCAACCTGCATGCTTGGCTGCTCAGGTCCCTGGGACCCTTTGGCCCCATCTGTTCAGGACCAGAATGGAGAGGCCCAGGCCCAGTCTGACAACCTCACCTTCACCATGTGGTAGAGCTTCACCTCCCACTCTCTAGGCTCGCTGGTTTCAAATTGCTTCATCTTGCTCCACTGTGCGAACTCCACCAACTTCCCTGTGTATGGTTGGGTTCCGGAGGGCTGCTGGGCCTGGAGGCAGCCTCTTTTCTCCTCCCCCCCTTTCCCAGCTCACAATGAGGCCGAAGGAAAGCCTACCCAGAGCCACTCAGAGCCTCCCCTTCCCCAACCCTGCTCAGCTCACCTTTCTGCTGGAACACGAGCTGCATGAGGAGGAAGACACAGCAGTAGGAATGCTGTTGTGTGATCTCGTCTTTATCCCGCCACAGCAGAGTCAGGAGGCCTAGCTGGTGGCCCAGCGTGGACGGCACGGCCTCTTTCTGGGGAGAGTGAGGCAGTGAGCAAAGCCAGGCCTAGCTTCCTTATGTCACTTTGTCCTTCCTTTTCTGCTCTCAGCATCTGTGGGAGATGCACTGGCTGGGCTTTGAGAGAGACTCCTGTCCCACCCATGAGAACCTCTCTGACCTGTCTGCTCACTGGAAAGCAGAATTTCTGTTTTTTAATAACAAGAAGCTGGGCATGCCTATCACTTCCTTCAAGCATGTTTGTACAGGTGTGCCTGTTGATAGGAATATGTGACTGCATGCTTGTATGCATGCGTGTGTGCTAGTGTGTACATATGTGTGTAGGCATGCCAGTGGGTGTTCATATGTACCTGCATGATGGTATGGTCATGTATGTGTGCCTGTGTGTACATGCACGCATAACTCTTTAAATGTGTGTATGCCTGTGTGTGCACACATGCTTGTGTGTATATGTGTGCATGTGTGTGTCCATGTATACCCACATAGGCTGGTATGTGTGCATCATTTGTCTCTCTTGGATGTTTTAGGAGTTTCCTGTCTTTCCCTGGTCTTCAATAATTTGGACCGTGGTGTGTTCCCATGTGTTTTCCTTTGTGCCTGTCCTGCTTGGGATTCCTTAGTATTCTTATCTGAAGGTACATATTTTTTTCAGCCAATTTGAGCAGTTTCCAGGGTGATGGTACCACCCACTCTGCCCTGATCATCTCACTTCTCCTGGGATTCTACTTCCACTCCGCATTGTTCTACACCCACCGGGCTTCCCTCTTTTCCCTTTGGTCTCGGCAGGTTCTTTGTCCTGGTTCCGATTCTTATTTCTTCTGTGGTGGCTGAGCTGCTGGTTAATGGACCCAGTGCCTTTTCATTTCAGATCTGTTTTGCTTGCAGTTCTAAATGTTCTTCCAACTCTTTCTTGTGGTTACCACGTATCTCTTAGCATTTTATTTTCCCCTTTAACGGTCATTCCTCTAAAGTCCTGAACACAGGCGCACACTGTGTCTCATTTCCTCAGTTCCTTTTACCAGATGCAAAGCAGTACAGAGAGGAATGGCAGACGCCTCCTGAAATCCTCACGGAGATGACAGGGAGGGTGTTCGCAGTCTCCTCTGAATTTCTGGCCTCTGAGATCTGGAGGGTCACATGGTTGGAGCTTGACTTTAGTGAGTCTCCTGTGCTCAAGTAGGTTGGACCTGAACAAAAGCCACCCCAAGCTGAGCCATTCTCCAGTAGGACTGTGGGGTTGGAAAGTGACCTGATGAGGAATGAAGGATGGGGACAGGGGCTTGGGGTGGGAACAGCCCTGATCTGCAGAGGCTCTTTCTTCCTGTGTGGGCCACACTGCTGCCCTCTCAGAGTGCAGCAGCCGGGAGCATCCTGCTCACTCTCTGTCGGCTTAGGACATTTTGCATCATTCATGAATCCATCGCTCTGTGAAGTCCATGACGGATGCTGTTTCTGAAGTCTTCAGGCTGAGCCTCTTAGCTCTCTGCCAGATCCTAACACCCAGACCAGCATGGTGGCCCGAGTGTGTGGTGGCCATCACACACCTGGCCAGCCCACCCTACCTGGAAGGACATATCCCATTGCAGACTCAGCAGCCACTTCAGTTGGTGACAGGTGTCACCTCACTGCCCCTCCAGCCCCAGCCTGGATTCCCAAAGCCAGCTTTGCAAGGCCCAACTCACACAGTTTCCGGTGAAGCCCTTGCCCATGTTAAATCTTGGTTGCATCTAACTGCTCTGTGAGGACCTTCACGGCCCTTTCATTTTCAGCATTGTAGCATTAGCATTGATTCTACTTCAAACATAGGGAAGAACAGCTCAGAAGTCCTGAGTCCTCTAGCCACTGCCTCCCCTTAGCTACACTGTTCTGCTCAGTCCCTTCCGGTCTCCTCCCTTCTTCTGACAGGAAACACTGGCATTTGACCTCAAACACTCCATTGTGTGTTTCATAAGGAGGACAAAGGTGACAAATGCACAGTGTGACAGCCACAGCCACAAAAATCCTATCCAACGTCAGTGTCATTGTCTCCTCCATATCCAGACTTCACCAGTTGTCCCAGTACAGTCATACTTAACACATGACACTCCTCATCCACACGACACTCTCCACACAGAGCACTCCTCCCATATCTATAACATACATAGAGCACTCCTCACTCACACACAGAGAAAGAGAGAGAGCGCTCTCCACACACACACAGACACACACACACACAGAGCTCTCCTCACACACACACACACACAGCTCTCCTCACACACACACACACAGCTCTCCTCACACACACAGATACACACACACACAGAGCTCTCCTCACACACACACACACACACACACACACACACACAGCTCTCCTCATACATCCAACACTCCTCACATTCAACATTCTTCACACACACATTTTTTGCATACATAACCCTACTCACACACACACACACCACTCACACATCTAACATACATCACACTAATATGTGCACACCTCTCATGCATACACCCCAAGACACATACCTTACATGCACACCACACAGAGCTCGAAGAATGCTGAAATAGATACATATCTAAATCCATGCGGATTCAGAGAATCAAGTGTCCAGCACTCCAGCTCTAGAACAGGGCCACCTGCTGTTACTCTCCAATGGAGGTCCTCGTCCCTTCGCGGGAGACCCCCAGCTTCCAGGACCTCCATACCTTCTGGCATTTATAAATTTCTGAAAAAATTTCAGGATACTTCGAATACTGCACAGAATAAAATTTCAAACCAATATTACTGCAAAAACCAAACTACAGAATTCTTACCAGTTTTATGGTCATTTTTATTTACAATTACAGTTACAGAGAGGTCACAAACATTAAGTACAAAATGCAATAGCTTCGGAAATTTCAATAGATTGTTGTATCTGCATCCTCTTTCGGCTGCTGTGCCTGAGGCTGGATGACTGAGAAAGAAGTTTATTTAGCTTGCAGTTTTGGATGCCAGGAAGTCCAGCATCAGGCAGTGGCTTCTGGCCAGGGCCTCTCACTGCTTGGCTGTGTGAATGACACACAGCAGGTGTGCATGAATGACAAAGGAGACATCCAGTTTCTCAAGCGCTGACTGATTCCGGAGAGAATCCAGTATCAAGATAAAAACATAATTCCCTCCGGCAGGCCTCACATGCCAACATCTCTGTTGATTTCCACATTCCAACACACCACCCAGCACCCTCCCTTGTCCCTGTGCATCTGTGAGAAACTTCTCATCATGTTTCCTGGAGAAGCCTCACAGCTGGTCCTGCCTGCCAATCCTCACTCTTCTCATGGGTCCTCTTCTCTGCTGAATCCTGGTGGCCCACCCCTGTGGTCGATATCGCCACACATTGCTTGCCTGTTCTTATTGCTGGGCATCTGCAGGACTTCCAGCTTGGCTCCAGTATGAACAAAAGCATATAAGTATTCTTGCATAAATCTTTTTATATATAAATGTTCACTCCTCTTGGGTAAATTCCTAGGATCAGACCTGTGTGCTTAGGGGATAAGTATGTGTTTAACTTTCAAAGAAATTGCCGGAAGTTCTGCCAGGCAGTTTTAACATCCTACGCTCCCACAGGCTCTATGAGACATTTCCGGGGCTCCACACCTTGGCCAATACTTGCTGTTCCCAGACTTTAATTTTGCGCTTCCAGTGGTGGGTGGTGGCACCTCCTAGTGGCTTATTTGCATGTCCTCTATGACCAGTTATGTGGGGACACACTTGTTCTCATGGCTTCTGCAATGTCTTTCCTGTTGCCCATTTTAAGGGTCGGTTGCCTTTTCACTGAGTTACAGCTATCACATTTTCCGGACCCATTTCTTGTCCATCTGTGTCCTGTGTCAGGGTGCACAAAAGTTCCTCATTTTGATGAGGTCCATTTGTCAATTTTTGTTTTTCAGGTGGGGTCTCCTATGGCCCAGGCTGGCCTCAAGCTCAGTAGAGTCAGAATATGTGGCCAAGGATGACCTTGAAGCTCTGATCTTCCTGCCTCCACCTCCCGAATTCTGGGATTACAGCATGCACCGTCACACCTGTTTGATGTAGTGCTGGGGATCCAACCTAGGACTTGGTGCACGCTAGGCAAGTGCTCTACATACAGCCCTAGCCCGTGGTATCCATGTTGTATTTGTAGCTACTGCCTTCTGAATGCTGTCCAGGCCATCTGCCTGCCCTTCCTTTAGGAAGAGGGTCTGTCTTCTTCTAGAGACCAGGAAGTTCTCAGCTTGTATTTCCCCCTCCCTTCCTCTTCCTCTCCCCTCTCCTTCCTGCCAGGGTCTCACAATGTAGCTCATGCTGACCTCAGACAATCCTCCTACTTCTTTTCTGAGAGTTAGGGTGATCACACCTGGCCTGTGGGAAGCCTGCTTACATTGTTCCTGAGCTGTGGGGTGGTGGCTCAGGCTCACTACCTAAGGAATTTGGTTTCTCTCAGTCCTTCCCATCCAAGCCTGATGCCTCCATGTGAAGTAGCGGGAGCTCGAGAACACAGAAATGGGGTGACTCTCTTTCTCTCAGCTGCTCCATTCCCAGCCCTCAGATCAGCTGATTCTAGGCTTGTCTGAGTCATGGGTCCTCCACACTGCAGCTTCTCTGTCTAGATCCAGGCTATTCCCCTCCCCCTCCCTACTCCTTCAGTCTCTGCCCTCTCTTGGTTGTAGTCTTGGCTTGGGGATTTCCTCGGGCCAACCTGCTAAACGGTACCACATCGCCCAGCCTGAGGGCTCAGAGAGTGCCTATGGCAAGACTCCACCTGGATGCTAATCTCCATTCCCACCATCAGGAGCTCCCCAAGACTTTGGAGTGCAGGGAACTCACAGCAAGCTTCAAAGAGTCTACCACATACTGCAGAAGCAGGAAGATGGACTGGACAGCCCGGCTGCGCTCATGGCTCTTGTCAGATATCAACCAGTACTCTGTGTGCTGGGAAGAATAGGGGAGCACGTGAGAACCTGCGCCACAGAGCCCATGACATCCAGCTCAACATCAGCCCAGAGTAGGGCCGCTGAGAAGGGCGACAGCCACCCAGCCAGGCCATTAGCCTCATTGCCTGTCCATCAATCTAGTTCTTCATTCCTGGTCCAAACCTATAAGGCACCAGCGACAGTCTTATTCTTACACAGCCAGGACACTTGTTCTAAGACCAGCCCAACAATCCGATGGTAGACACCAGCAGGGCATCCTTCAACTCAGCTCAACTCCAATGCTGTCAAGGTTAAGGGCTCTGTCCTCTCTGGAGCCCCAACTGTGGCTCATGTTTCAGTCCAGCCCACTGTAGATTATGTTCACCCACCTTTCATTCTATAAAAAGCACCCAAAGCAGACTACTTTACAAAGAGGGCTACAGTGGTGCATGACTCTGGAGGTCTAGAATGCTGATGGCCTTCTTGGTGACAGTCCTAGGGTGATGAGGGGCACCACATTGTAGAGACAGGAAACACATATATGCACGTTTCTTCCAATTCCCCTCCACTTCTCATAAAGCCTGTCACAGGGTTGGGGGTACGGCTCAGTGTAGAACACGTATCTAGAATGTTGAATGTCTGTGTATAAATAAGGCCTGGGTTCAATCTTTACCTAGTATTACATGTGTGGGCATGAACGTGCACACACCCACATCCACCTCCACACTCTCTCTAGCAGCTCAGGCTGGAGCTAGGGCTGGGGCTGGAATCCCTACTTTGCTGGTTTACAGGCCTCACCTGCAGGAGGAAGCAGACCTCATCCATGCTCGGGTTCTCAGAGATGAAGTTCTGAAGGAGCAGGTCCAGGGCATGCATTGTCTTCTTGTACAGCACCTGGCAAGGGCAAGGGACAGGGACAGCTGGCATCACATAGCCAGGTCACCTCATCGTCTCCCCTGCAAGGTATCTGCTTCCTTGGGCCCAACTCTGGCAGGTGAGGCTGATCACGCCATTGGCAGCAGCTGGGATAGTGCATTCTGCCTCCAGACTTTCCCCAGAGGAGCTGTGGTGTGAGCAAACAGGTTCCTCTAGCTGCTCAAGTATGTCTCCTCCAGCTCTGCCCACCTCTCTCCTGAGGCCACTGAGGTAGTCTGCCGCTCTGACATCTTTCCTGCTGACCTGCTGTTTCCCCAAAGAAGGACTTTTGGTTAATGTCTCAGCCACTGACAACTTAGCAGTTACAAATTAAACACTTGTTTGTTGGTTGGTTGGTTGGTTTTCAAAATGGGGTTTTTCTGTGTAGCCCTGGAACTTGATTTATAGACCAGGCTGGCCTCAAACTCAGAGATCTGCCTGCCTCTGCCTCCTGAGTGCTGGGATTAAGGAAGTGAGACATCGCTACCTGACTTTTTTTTTCTCACATATTTATAAAGACTAAAAGAGAGAGGAAATGGTTCTAGATGAAAAGAATCTTGAGATGATAATCTTGTCTCCAAGTGAAGGATGGTTTCAAATGGAAATAAGACCAGAAATGCAAACACACCAGAAGGCCCAAGCATATCACTGCAAGGAGTCAAGAATTCCTCCCAGCTCACACCATCCACTGAGAGAGCTTCTGACGCGGAGGCAATACTCTTATGTGGAGATATTTCAAATAAGACTGCTAAAATGGCAATGAACACTTAAGGCTGACCTGAGGATGGCCTTCCTCTTTTCCCAAATACAAACTTACACTTATCTAGGAATCTCAGAAGCAAGAAAGGAGACTCCATTTCCAGTGAAGGATACAGTTTGGTCATCTTGTGTGACCCTAGCAACCTATGATCTCACCCTAACAGGCTGCTGTCCTAACCACTTCAGGAAGCACCTTAGAATCTCATTTACTAAAAGGAGGGCATGGAGGAAGGGCTCTTAGCAACCCTGTGGGTGGAGCTTGTGTGTCCAGGGCTAAGATATTTAAGCCTGACTTCTTCACACGTGGGTGTTTCTTATCCTTTCTTTGGTTGCCTCTACTTCTATCAACCCCTTGCTGAGTCTATGTTACACTGCCTTCCCAATAAAATCCAACTCTGCTCCAAACTGGACCATCCTAAAATTCTTTTCTGCACAAAGCCTTGAATCTTGGCTTTCCCTGAGTACGTGTCCCTGCAAGGAATTCTTCAGGTCTCTGAGGGCAGCAGCATAGAGCTGGGTCTCTCCCAGGCCCCACTTCCACTGATGAGCCCCAGCATCACTTACTGTGTTGTGGTACCCAAACACTCAACAGGAGCAACTTCAAGGTTTGTTTTGACTCACAGCTCAGCCCATACAGTGCATCACAGTGGTAAGGCATCTTGGGAAAGCATGGTGACCATGCCTGCTTGGGCTATGGTGGCAGGAGCTTGCTGCACACTTCTCGTATGACTCAGAGCAAAGAGAACACTCAGGCTAGAAGCAGGGCCAGGCTCACCACAGTGACCCACTTTCTCCATCTAGGCCCCAGACTCCAATATCACCAACTGGAGAATAAGTATTCAGACACATGGGTTTGTGGGGGACGTCTGACATTCAAACCTTGTTCTTGCAGCCTCCAGAGCTGTGGGTAGCAGCATACTGTTCTTTACAGCTATGGTACTTCTTTTCAACTGCCCCCACAAAATACAAAGCTGAACCCTCAAAATGCAAAAACTTCCAGCAGAAAACTTAAGCAATCTTTGTGGCCCCTGGTCAAGCAAACTCCCTAGACATCCTACCCATAGCACAGGCCAAAAACAAAACAAAACAAAACAAAAAAAAACCCCAGCTGGGCGGTGGTGGCGCATGCCTTTAATCCCAGCACTCTGAAGACAGAGGCAGGCGGATCTCTGTGAGTTCGAGGTCACCCTGGACTACAAGAGCTAGTTCCAAGACATACTCCAAAGCTACAAAGAAGCCCTGTTTCAAAAAAACAAAAAATAAAATAAATTAAAAAAAACAGTAGGAATTTTCTAAGCAGTAACAACTGTCTTCAGAAGTCAACAACAGAGATTTTGAGAAAGTCCCAACTGAGAGAACAGATTTTCAAATGCAGACTGTAAACTCACATCCAAAGTATAAGAGGAGCTATAAAACTGCCTAGTAAGGCTGGCAAGATGGCTCAGGGGCATAGAGGCCCTTGCTATCAAACCTGGGCATTTGAGTTAGATTCCTAGGACCCACGTGGTGGAAGGAGAGAAACAATTTCCACAAGTTCCCCTCTGATCTCCACATGTGCACCACAGCACACAGACACACAGACACACACACACACACAGGCTCACATACACACACACACATAGACACATATATACACGTACTCACATATACACACACAGGTTCACATACACACACATAGACATATACATACATGTACTCACATAGACACACATACACACACAGGCTCACACAGACACACACACTGAAACATACACAGAGACACAGACAGACATATAGACAGAAACACACACACAGATACATATAGGCTCACATAGGCACACACACATAGAGAGACACACACTGAAACACAGACATAGACAGACACATACACAAATAAAAAGTAGTTTTAAAAACCTACATAGTGGCCCATTTCAAAGGTAGCTGTGAGAGCTGAAGAGATGTTTCACCAAAGTTAAGCACATACCAAAGTCCTCATCCCAGTGACCTCATGAAGGTAACAATGGATCAAAACTATGGCCAACTGCAGAAAGTCAGTTGGTGCAGTGGCAGATGGTCCCAGTTGAACCCCACACAGGAATGGCTGCTGCCTCCTTTGTGACCACATGGAGGTCAGTTTCCCTTGGGACTCATCTGTCTTCCCCTGCTCCCTGGGCTCTCCTGGCATGGTTCTGACCATCCACAAGGCAGTGCCTCATGTGTGCCCTGGGAGCCTAGCGCAGACCACAGGTCAGCTCCCTGTGCCTGCCTGGCCTCGCTGCCTAACCTGGATCCAGGGCCGGGAAACAAAGCGTGGAAGGCTTTGTTTCTTGCCTTGCTCTTTCTGCTGAACAGAACGTAGCTACCCTCAGAGCCATGCCAGCCAGATGACCTCTTCCCAGAGCAAGCAACCCCAGCAACACTGTATCCTCCCTTCACTTCTGGTGGATGGAACTGGCCTCTCCTGCTTTGGATATGGCCTTGGTACTCACTTAGGTCCTGGAATGGAGCAGGACCTAGTTGTGTGCTGAGTGATCAGAGGCATGTGAGTGACAGCCAGCCTTGTCCCCGCCTCAACTCCCCTGGAGCCTGGGTCTGGGGCAAGATAGCCTGAGATAGCTGGGTAGCTGCACAGCCAAGGGCCAGGATGTGTCCAGCGCTTTGAGGCATTTGTCAGCTTCCTTGAAGTCAATGAGTACAAGGTACAGGAAGGCTCGCTTCAGAGAATGCCACCAGAGCAGCACTGAGACCAGGGTCTCGTTTGCGCAAAAAACCTTCAAGGTCCCTGCCATTCTAAGGTTGAAGTGAGCCTGTGCTCCAGGCAAGATGGTTCTAAGCCCAGACAGAGCTCTTCTTTCTGCCAATTACCAGACAAAGCTAACCCCTGGCCTAACACCAGAAACCCACACCCCTGGGAGAGAGACACGCCAATCCTAGAGCATCACCATGACATCTGGAGCTTGTTTCGATGAAGGCGAATCACTCTGTAGGTGCTCAGTAGCGGGAAGCCTGTACACACTGTGCAGGCAAGTCTGCAGGACCTGGGACTTGAGCAGGGGTTTGAGTCCGGGTCGCAGGTTACTGCAAGAAAACAAAGTGTTAGGTTGGGGTGTGAGACTGGCCCAAGGGACTCCCAGCAGGGGTATACCAGAGACTGGCCTAAGGGACTCCCAGCAGGGGCACACCAGCACAACTAGAATACGAAAGTAGACAATGTCTTGGCTCAGTGGAATAAGAAAGGTCAACACAATAGGGGCTATGGTGAGCTGTTCTAACTCACTGGCATTTGCTTGGGGGAAATCTAGACATTTTCAGGGTCAGAGTCAAAGCTATGGATAGATCAGGTCAGAGCATAGAGTAAGATCCGGGTCCAAGGGTGAAAAGCTAGGCTTCATGTATAACCTGGGCTAGGGCCCAGTCTGTGCTCAGGACTGTGGTTTAGTGTGTGGCTGTGGGCAGGGTTTAGTTTTTGCCAGTATTAGCAATCTATCCTGGTCATGAAAGAACGCAAACTTAGAACAGGCAGTCTTTTAGGCAGAACAGGAAGAGCCTCAGCACAGCCAATATTCTGGTGGTGCCTTGGGCCCCAGCCCCACACGCTCTGATGCCACCACAGACTCAGGACCTTGCCTGTCTTCCAGTGCCCTAGGAGAGCTACCTTAGACCCATGACAACCAGGATGATCTTCTGCCTGAAGAAGGTGGTCAGGAAGTTGGGCTCATCCTTGAGGATGTCCTGGAGGGCAGAGAAGGGGCAAGTGTGGCAGCAGCCTCTAGCTGGCCACCCTGGTCCTTAGGAGGACCCACGGTGACCCCAGGGTCGCTTACCAGGAGGCACTGGATGAGCTCTGGAATCTGCGTGAACTTGTACCTCTGGGAGCCATACTCTTCCCGAAGCGATCTAGTGAGCAGGATGGCCGCAGACAGGAAGCTTGACTTCAGAATCTCATCCTGTCTCCCATAGATGGGCCAAAGGTCAGGTCAGGGGACAATTCCCTAAAATCCTGTCACATAACCTAAGCAGCCACCTTGACCAGGGTACCAGCAGTGTGTGCGTCACACACACAACACACAAAGCACACTTCATGCACACAGGACATAGCAACCTTACTCACAAAAACAACCCCTCTGCCAGTCAAGGAAGCTAAGTACAGGGCTTCCTTCTCTCTAGGCCAGCCTCATTACCCTGGACAGACACAGCCTTATCCCAGCCACCTGTACCAGAGCCCTGGACCCAGGAGTGCAGAGAGCAGACCCTGAGTGGGCTCTGTTCCCAAGACTCTAGGGCTGTCCTGCGAGTACTGCCTCAGTGACTGACAAGTTAACCCAGGTGGCTCTGTCCAGCCTGCCCTTCAATGGAGGGGTGGGGAGGGCCTCACGCAAGGACCACAGGAGAAGTAGTACACCATCCTCGAGGCGATGTTGTCCACCCAGGGCAGGATCTGCTCCTTGATATGTTTGGCTATCTGCCCATAACACAGCAGGGAGGTGCTGCTGACCCATTTCCATCGAAGGTTGTTGTCTGAGGGCTGTGGGCGAGTGAGAGCTAGGCTGAGGGGATCCAGGCTCTCAGCTCTCCCAACCCCCACCTCCCTCTTGCCAATGAGAAAGCTGTAGCCTCTATACTGACTTCAAGTAGAGGCCAGGAGTGTGCCTCCTCCAAAGGACTGGGCCTAGAGTTGCCACTAGCCCTCCTGTCTAGGAAGCCCCACTAGCTGGTTCCCCAGGCAAGCTTTCTCCTTTGAGCTACTGGAGTTGGGATTGTAGAGCTGCTCAGTGTATCTACTGGGCCCAAGGCAAGCGAGAACTTGAGGCCCAGGCCTGGCATAGCTCTCAAAGTACTGGAGGTTCCCTGGCCCAAAATCCTTAGTTCAATTATCTCCATGCTGAGGCCCTGAGGAAGGGTCTCCTATGAAGCATGCATGGACACAGAGCAGGTACTTCAACTATCCTGTGTCCCCGACACCAGCTCCTAAGGGGTCAGGCAGGAACCCTGGTGTAGTGTCATCAATGGGCACATGGAGGCTGGCACCCTCTCTGTCCACCACTGCCGTATTCAACATGCTGTAGCACTCAGGGCCTCAGGGCCTCCCTACCTGGCTGTCTGGGGACACTTCGGCTGAACGCAGGATCTTGTTGCGTCCCAGGTGCTTCAGCAGGGCCCATACCTCCTGCAAGTGTTCGGTGGAGGCCAGGCCCACAGCCAGCGCAATTCCCTGTGTACCAGAGGACCCTGTGAGGGAGCTCACAGGTGACAGGGCAGGTCCTTGTCCAGCTCTCTGGGGCCTGTCCTTCTATCAAGGCTGCCTCCCGGGGGGCTGGACTGGTGGCAAGCTGGCAAAGTGTGCCATGCAGTGAGAGCCATGCAAGACCCTAGTGATGGTGAATGGGGCACGAGGGAGGCACAGGCAATAACCCGAGGACACTGACCCACCTCTCGGTAGCTGGAGTGCTGGTGGGACAGCTCCAGGAGGTTGGCTAGGTGGCACTGAACCTGCTCCGTGCTGGGGCACTCACGCAGGATCAGCCCATAGAGATGGAAGAGCAAGGCCTGGAGTAGGACAGGGTGGAGAGTCTGCTAATGCTGTCTGCTAATGCTGCTAAGAAATCCACCCATTTGAGCATGGCAGGGCTGTGTGGTCAGACCTACTCCTTCCCCAAGAGGGAGCCCTTTCTCCTCCCGCTGTGTGGGACAAAGCAGGGGAGGAACACCTTCCTGAAGCATTTCCAGGGGGCTAAAAGAGCCTAGGGCTTCTCATGGGGCACTGACCTTATCAGCAGTTTGCTTGGGGTCCAGGCTGAGAAATTCTAGGAGCTTCTGCACAGGGGAATCCCTGGGTGGCGTCTTCTGCTTTTCCCAGAGCTGTGGGCAGACTGCCACGCAGACCCTTCCCAACCACCAGGGCAAGACAGATTCTAGAGCCCACAGGACAGTTGTAGCCCTCCCAGGACCCTGAGTGGGGGGAGGGCAGCTTGCTTTCAGATGGGTGAGAGAAAAGGAAACGGGAAATCCCTCCAAGTATGAGAGTTTTAATCCTGAGTAAATCTGCCCATGACCACCTCTGCAGTAGTTCCCTGAGACCCTTAGGACAGAGGCTGACGTTTCTAGCAGACACAGAGAGTCCCATGGGTATCTGGGCATGCTCCTTGCTGACTATGCCTCAATGTTGACCCCTGGGCCTTTGCCCATCCTGTTCTGACCAAATGCTTTTCCCTCTCCATGTTTAGGTTCCCAGTCATGACCAGCTGTGAGTGCTTAGGTTGCCTCCCTCTGTAAACAACGGCCATCCCTGGTAGGAGGAGACCCTGGGTGGACCCTGCCTTCCCACCAGTGTGTGGGAACTAAAACATCCACTCTGACTCTCTGAAATCCTCCAGCACCTTCCTATAGAGTGTTAGGAGCTTCAGGGATGGCCAAGACCGTGGGAGTCCTAAGGTGGTTGATGAGTTCAATGTGTTGGCTGGGGAACGATCCTGGATGGTGCCTTCACTTCCTCCCAGGCCCCGTGAATCTCCCGCTCAGTGGGAAGCATCAGTCTCTCTGATCCTACCTGGCTGTGCTCCTCTAGGAAATGGCAGATGGTGTCCAGTGCCAGGCCCTGCTCTGTGACCATCATGTTCTTGATCTTACTGACTGCCACATTCTCCCAGGATGGATGGAAATTCGAGTACTCTCCCAAGATCCCCAAATCCAAATAATCTGTGGAGATCCCAGAAGCAGGGGGTCAGTACCAGCCCCATCCACCAGTCTCCCAACACCTAAGGCCCAATAAAGTTCCTGAGCTGGGTGTGGAGAGGGACTATGGTAGAAAACCCAGGCCCACCCAGCACCTGCCCTGCCAGGTTCCTGCTTGGCACACTGGAAGGACTGCTGTGGAGGCAGTGTGACCTCTACCAACACAGACACATCAAGGAGGCTTGGTGGCCAGCTCAGAGCAGAATCAGTGTTCAGCCAGTTGACTAGGGAACAGAGACCATACTGGGGTCAGGACTATGATCACAACTGCTAATCATTTGAAGCAATATATTGACACGGCTCTTGCCTAGTCCCAGTATCACAACAGCTGGTATTCCTCTTATTTAAACCACAAGGCTGGAGGTAAGCACCCATACGCCACTAAGGAGTTTGTCATCTACAAGCCTAAGCAGAACTCCACAGAGCAGACACTTCCACGGCGAGCAGGCACAGACTTCCTGGGGCCTGGCCGTCCACCACACTGAGAAGAGCTGGAAAGGAGATGGCTGAATCTGTGGCAGGAGCCATGTGGACCCTAGGAAGCTTCTTCCTGGCCAGCCAGTCAGGGCTCCCACTGCCAAAAACACATCCAAAGGAGCCACACTCACTATCAGTGGAGAGGAAAGGCGTTCCCAGGGACTGGACTTTGCTGTCTTCTCGTGAGACAGAGACAAGAATATGTGAAGGAAGACAGCGCATCCTACAGACATGTGGCTGGGGCGTGAGTCTTCTCTGAAAAACTAAGAGCAAATAGGAAGGCCTGTCTAGAGCCACATGGTTAGGGTTTCTCTGTGTTCCCCCTCCCCCCAAAAGGCTCATGGGCTGAAGTCTTGGTCCACCGAGATGGCAAAGTCATGAGAGCTCTGACCCACTCACTGGCTTCATCTACCATTGATGGGGTCATAAGTTAAAAATGTTATTGGGATTTGAGGCCAATATAGAGCACGCATGTCACTGGAAAGCCCCTGGAGGGGGTCTTCTTTGTCCCTTCCTGTTTCCCTGCCTCTGACTCACACCATCTGGTGAGAAGCTCTGCCTATCTGGCCCTTTCCCCATGCTGTTAGGCCACAGAAAAGCAGCCCACTATGCACCAGATACTCTCAGACAGCCCCAAAGCATCTTTCCTTCTCAGCTTATACCAGGTATTCTGTCATTGCCATAAGAAACTAGCATACACACGTATAGAGAGTCCCTTCCTCGCCATCAGGGAAACCCCAGAGGTTTTATGATGATTGTATGTAATTTCTACATTGTCTAATGTTTTTACAACCATGCTATACAGACAAAGTTCTAAATGGCTGCAAAACCAGATAAAGTCCAACTGAGTCTCACACATGGGCTGCTTCACAGGGTTCTTGTCACTCAACCTTTGCAAACCATGCCTTATAGGATATGGTACCAGGAGTGGTGTACAAGGTTCTCACATGAGCTTTGGCCTTGGTCCAGAACAGTTCCCACGGAAAGGAGCCTGCTGTTGGTGTCTGAGGGCATCACTCACCAATCCTGAGCTGGTAACCAAGACACTGCACAACCCTCTGAAAGCCATCGTTCATGTTTGCACACATTTGGTCATGCAGTAAAAGCTATCTACCTGCCAGGCACTGACCCCGAGTAAGCCCAGACGTTTCTTAGCAGTCTTTGGATGATCCAGGCTACCCCTCATGTCCTCAGAGCACCAAGGATGACACACGAGAAGCTGTGAAGTCCCTGCTCAGCTGGGTGGCAATGGTACATAGTCTGCCCCACCTGACTTCTTGAATATAGGAATAGTGGTTAAATTCCTGCTGTCCTTCCTGGGGGGGGGTGATATAGGGCTAAGTAGGCTCTGTCCAAGGTCCTGTCAGCTCAGTGCCCTACTCTAGGAAGTCAGAGTCTGAGTGAACCCCAACCCATACACTGTATAGATGTGAGCACCTTGTCTCAGTCCCCCAATCATCCCAAGGGCTCTTGGAGGCTCTCAGCAGTGTGTCCATTCTGTAAACCCCACTTGCTGTGCACCCACTCACTAAGCTCCCGCTCTTGCTCCTGCTTGGGCAATGAGCGGTTGGGCCTTCTGTAGGCTGAGGGGGTGGATCTCTGTGGGGACTGAGAGGAGTCATCACCAACCATAGCCAGAGGTTCTTTGGAGGACAGCACCTGGCAAAGACAGAATATAGATGTTTTTTACCTACCTGGTGACAGAGCATGGCCACAGGGTCTCTCAACCACCCCAAGCCTTCTCATCCCCTCCCCTTTCACTCCAGAGACACCACAGTTGGTCCTGTGGGCAGTGTGACATCCAAAGGGCCTTGGCCCAGTCTTTCTTGCTCAGCTGTGGTGGCAGTTTGAATAAAAATGTTCCCCACAGGTTCATATATTTGAGTGCTTTGTCATCAGGGAGGGACACTGTTTGAAAAGGATTAGGAGGTGTGGCCTTGTTGGAGGAAGTGTAACGCAGGCAGTGGGCTTTAAGTTTTCCAAAGTTCACACCAGGTCCAGTGCCTCCCTCTCTTTCTGTCTACAGATCAGGATGAAGCTCTTAGTTTCTGCTCCAGAGTTAACCTGCCTGGTGGCAACATGCTCGTCCACCATGCTTCTTGCCACGATGATATGAAACTATAAGCTCGTTCCCAGTCAAATGCTTTCTTGTATAAGAATTGCCTTGGTCGTGGTATCTCTTCACACCAATAGAACAGTGACTAAGACAGCTACTTAACATGGGGTGTGGTGGTGACTCCAAAGCTACCCTGCCACCTTCACCCTGAAAATCCTTTCTTCTGGCATCTTCTGAACTTGGTTTCAGCCCCTTGTCCATGGATGAGCCATGCTACCCACACATAGGTTTCAGAGGTTCTCCTTGAACATATTAAAATGGTGCAGGAATCTGGGGATCCTATGTATCACCAAGGCCACCTGGAGGCCCACAGTTCAGAGCACCTGATCTTGGGTGTTGGCTACAGGTTCACCCATACTCGGGATATCTCCTAAGATCCCTGAGCAAATTTCCCATCTGCTCAGTCTTGCCAAGTTGGGGAATACACCAGACTCCTTAGTGACAGTTTCCCAATTATTTCATCTCTTACCCTGCCAGGTGTGGGATCCTCACAAGTGTCCCGAGGTCCACTCTCCATCACTTTCCCCTGTCTTGCAACTCTAATAGAAAACTTTCACCTCAGGCTGCCTACACTACCTTCATTGTCAGCTTAAATGGATTTAGAAGAACCTAGGAGATTAGCCAATCACACCTCTGGGTAAATCTGTGAGGTTGCTTTCGGAAGGGATCACTGGAGAGAAGACCTCGCCCAGATGTTGGATGGCACCATTGCATAGGCTGGAGCCCCAGGTGGAACAAGAGGAGGAAAGGAGACCGTGAGTGGAATGGAGTGCCAGCATTCTGCGGTGTCCTGGCCTGCCACGACCTGAGCTGTTCCTTTCTGCCATGCCTTCCTCTCCATGGTAGACTGAGACCCCAAAGATGTGAATCAAAATTAACTTTTCTTCTTTGCTTCTGTCAGTATTTGCCATGCAATTAATACACAGCCTGTTTCCTCCTACACCAAGGCTCCTTGTTCTGGGTGCTCTGATCAGCCCTACCCACCTAGCTGCAACCCTTTGTAAGCCCTGCTGGCTCAGGCCTGCCTGAAGTTTCTTTATATCTCTGTCCTAAGTCTTCACGTGGCCTCTCCCACTAACTCTATGGCACTGGGGACCTCTGAGCACCTGCCTTTCCTGAAAAGAAAGCTCTGTTTGCCTTCAGACCTACGCTCAACAACCTGGCAGTGAGGGTGCCCACTGTAACAGGGAAGAATGGATACTATGGGATAAGCAATGAGTGACTATCAGTGACAGAGAGAGAGAGAGAGAGAGACAGAGAGACAGAGAGAGAGACAGAGAGAGAGAGACAGAGAGAGAGAGAGGGAGAGAGAGAGAGAGAGAGAGAGAGAGAGAGAGAGAGAGCAAATGAGGAGTAAGAGATTGAGTGAATGGCTGAGCATGCAAGACTGTGAGTGGGGAGAGCATGAGGGGTCCGCCTCCTAGTCGAGGGGAGCACCTCTACTGGGTGGGGCATATTTGCCATTGTTGTGCCCTGTCCTGCCCAGTGCCATGGGCTGAGTCAAGCCTAGGCAGTGTGGGTGGCCTTAACAGTGGTCCATTTTGAGAAGCCTATTGCCCACCTGGGTTCTCAAGGTCCTATCTGGTCACCTAGTGCCCGACCCTACCACGACCCTGGCTAGGGCCCCTCCCATCTGCTTTTTGCTATTTCCAGCCCCAGCTAAAGGTTCTGAGTTTCCAAGCCACAGTGGCCATGCTACTGCCTGGAGGTCTTGCTTCCTTCAGGCTGTCGCATCCCGAACTCTGCCCACCACTTTTCACTCTTAGTAGCCCTGCTCACCAAGCTCGAATGAGGCTTTCACAAACCTCAAAAGGACTCTAGAAAAGCCGAACCTCTCCTTTGCAAATTGGCCCCCTTACGATCTTTTCATGGAAGCCACCAAAGTCATTCTCAAGTGACTATCCCCAATCCTAGGGTAGAAGTGAAGGGGAAACAGAGTCTGGAAGGTTGCATGGAGGACCAGACAAGAAAAGAAGAGGAAGACTCAAGATGAGAGGGTCACTGAGTCCAAAGGGGTCTTGCCAAGAATAGAGGCGATATCATTGTCTGTCCCACCCACTCTTCCCCTCCTATCCCTTGCTTGCTGGCCTCTCCCATGCAAACTGTCCTTCCTCTTGGAGCTAATCCAGCCAGCTTGCACCCAGCCTGACTACCCAAGGAACCTGGATATCAGCTTTTCCACTGTCCTCATCCCCCTCATTCTCTCGATCCCACAATTGCCCCGAAGTGCCTGCCCAGCTCCAGAAGCCTGGTTCTCTCAGCTACAGTTCCCTGCCAAGCCTCTTGTGGTCAGCCACAGCCCTGTCTCCATGAAGCCACAGTCCTCTTCGGTTCTTTGAAGGGAGGCACAAGGGACCCATCACCAGCTCTGTGTAAACTGTCATATTACCTGGACCGGTCTCCACTGCCTTTTCGTCCCTCATTCCTTCATTGAGTCACCTGTCCATCCCTCTGCTGTGGTCTCTCCCTGAGACCTGAGCTCTCCAGCTGTATCCTTATCCCCTGGTTGGTGTTGCTGGACTCCTATTGACGGTGAGCTTCTGGGGTCACTAGGAGGTCAGCGGTCAGCCTGTGCACACTGAGGCTGCATCAGTGAACACTGACTTCTGTAGATGAAGAACGCTTCTTCCTCGTGTTGTAAGGCAGCTCAAGAGATGGCCTCCAGGCTAATCAAAGAAGCACATGAAAAAGGCCCGTTACCCATGCGTACACAGAGGTCAGCCAACACCAAGAGCTCCTGAGAACTCTGCTGGTCACCTGCACCTGTATGGGTCATTTGCTGTCAAAGATTCCCTTATCCAGGGGCATGGCTTGCTTGTCCCCGAACCCCACTTTCAGGAATTTAATCCATGGGGTAAGATTAGAGATATACAAAAATTCACTATTTAAGGACTTTCCCCAAGGCTTAAATAGCCACGGGGGTCAAAAGGAGATGCCCAGCGGGCAGTTCTGGAAGCCTGATCTTAATGCTGACTGACCACTTGGATATGGTCTGGCTCAGGGACAAAGTCCCAGAATTCTAATTTAAGATCCATTTTTCCCAGACATTGTGATTCTAGACTTTCTTTTCTGGATCCTCTTTTAAAATTTCTGGGAGGGGGTGGTGGGGTGCAAAGGAGGATGCTTTACTGTTATCAGTTTAACAAAGCAAAATGACAACCAAAACGCTACTTAAAATACAAAAAGCTATGAGTGTCTTTTTTTCTTTTGATTGGTTTTTGTTTGTTTGTTTGTTTTGAAAGGCAAGCAGAAGACAGGCTGTAAAATCATACCTCTGGCTTTGGGGAGGGAAACTGTGAGGCGGGAACTGGCCCAGGGCTCTGCCAACTCCTGGAAGTCCTGAGCTTGGTGGCCTTCGGCAGCCTGAGGAGAAGAAGGGACACTGTATGATCATGGACATGCTTGCAGCTAGCCAGGGGTAAACTGGTTGAAGACTTTTTGGCTCTGCCTGTGCCAAGGTTCAAGGAAGAGTGAAACGAGGCCAAGCTTAGCCAAGGGTAGAGGAACTGTCTGGGACTCCCAACAGCTTCCTGAAGGGAGGGAGCTTTACAGAGGACAGTGACCAGCTGCCACCAGGCATGCTGCCCCCTCCCCATGCCTGAGGAGAAGCTTGTTGAGATTCCCTGATGTCACCAGGCAGGACCATGGGCTAGGGAGAGACAGCAGGAAAATGTCAAGTAGGGAAGGTGTGCAGAACTTGCTAACAGCGGGGGGAGCAGGGATGAAGAGGGAGGGGGTCTTCCTCATAGTTCAGGACGTGGGAATCTGCACCCAAGAGGCCCCTCTACCACTGCCGATTGAAACTTCCAAAGGAAGTCCCAAGGGACATTGTGGGATTTGGTCCTCGTGGACAGGGGACAGACTTCAAAGGTACTGAGATGACAAAACTAGACTAGGCCCCAGTTGGGTCAACCATGGGGCTTAATTAAGGGGGAAATCGCCTCCCCAAAGGCAGACCTGTCCTTGGATTACTGTCCCCCAAGCCTCAGTAGGGATTGTGCTCTGAGAAATCCAACCAGAAGCCCTGGGATGGGGTGGGGAGGGGGGCTTGAGTGGCAATTTCCCAACAGCCACTGCCTGGAGGTCAGGAGGGATCCTCACCCCTGAGGATTCCATCCTAACCGACACTGAGGGCAGTTGAGAAGCACTGGGCCTGGAGCCACCTACAGAGGAGTCAGTCAGTCATTACTCAAGCCATGGAAGTCAGGCTCTGCATCATGTGAAAAGCGAGAAGGGCTGCTGGGAAGAGTCCCACCAAGGCTCTAAGGAGCCCATCTGACAGTTCCAGGAGGCTTGAACACCATGTACAGAGTCTGATTCACGGTCTGAACAGGCCAGGCCAACTGCTTGGCATCCTCCCTAGAGCCGGGCATTTTGGCTTCTAGCCTGGGAAGCCCCCACTAAGCTCCAAGTCTGACTGATGACCTGATGGTCAGAGAATGAGCGTTGTCCAGATGACCTCAGGACATAGTCAGTTCTGCGGACTCACCTAGCCTATCCCCAGGGCATTTGGACTATTTTGCTCTTAGATTTGCAATGCCCCTCAGAACGACAGTTGGAGGGGGTGTGGCTAAATCAACTGTCTCCTATGACTCTGAAAAATCACCAGTAACCCCCAACCAAGGGTAACAGACAAGGCAACAGCTGTGCAGGCTGATGCTAGAAAGGTTAGCAAGAGAAAAGCAGCCCCATGAGTCCCTTACCCTGCCCTCCTTGGACCTCAGGAATTCAGCTGACTTCAGTACAGGGCTCAGACCCTAAAGCCTTGTTTAAACAGGTGTGGTAACTCATCAGTGACAAGATGGGTTCTATTGCTCATTTTTAGTTTCTTTTCCTCAATGAGGGATACTGAGTCCCTGAGTGAGGTTCTGGAAGCCAGGGCCTGTTGAGGGAACGCTGATGAACAGTGTGAGTTGAAGGCAGAGAAAGGCCAACAGGTAAAAGCTTTGTGGGCAGGAAGGGTGTGTATCCCTGATGCCAAGCTACTCCTGGAAGGACAAAAGCCGGGCCCTGCTCAGCTAAGGTGGGTCAGGCTGGCACCCGGGGAGGGGGGGCTGCCAAGAAAAGCTACCACCATGAATGGCAGAGGGACATTCAAATATTGTCCAGACAAAAATATTTGAGAAGACCTAGGAGAAGAACTGAGGTCTAGGGCTTGGGGTCAATCTCACGTCCCCAGAAAATTCCCAAATGAGAAACCCCAGGGCAGCTGCTGTGTCTGCCTAGGCCCTCTTAAGAGGCCTCCTTCCTCTTCAGAAAAATCTCTTGAAGTTGTCACCGCACTGCTTACTGCCCCCTCCCTGGGACATTTTGGCCTCTCATTCCTGAGGAACATTCCTTTGGGATGAAGACCTGCTTCTGAGCCCACTTCCTGTGAAATAAGGGAATTGCCCAAGGGTCACTATTAAACATGTTAAGCAGTTAGCTTGAGATGAGTTTGGATCCTTAGCAGACATGTCTGTCTGTCTGTCTGTCTGTCTGTCTGTCTGTACCCTGAGAAATGATGGTTTGGGACTTTATGGGTTCTCATCTACCACTACAAAAGGCGTTAGTCTGTCAAGAACACAACATCTCTAGCAGAAGTGTTGTGATGGCCACTGTAGCCCTGGTAGAATTTGGGGGAGATTTTTTTTTAACTGTTCCAAACCTGTGTGAGAGACTGGAGTCTTCTAAATCATCAATCCAAGTGGCCTCCTATAGCATTTTGATGGTTCAAGTCGGGATTCGACCTGACATGCCAGCACAAAAACGTTGTATTTTCTGGCACACCACTCTCCGGTACTCTGCCAAAGACAGTGGGGCAAGCCAGAGACCCTGACTTCGGCTGGAGAGGACCCAGGATTTGGGGACGAGTTTGAAACAGAATCTCATTTTATCTTGGAGACAGTGACAGCAGCTGCTACCTTTTGAGTAGTGGCTGTGTTTAGACAGGCTCCTGTCAGGACCAAGGTCTCGCCAAGCCCCACTACTAGTTCAGCCACCTTCCTTGTTCTGCTTTTGAAGACTTAACATTGATTAGAACCATGGTAGTATTGGGCAGCCATGTGGCTTTGGGATCTGGATGGATTCTTCCCACACACCCACAGGCCACAGATTCCTTTGAATTTAAACCTTTATTTGTCTACCACAGGGGGTCCCTCATACTGTTTTAAGGGTCCCCTAAGAACATGGAGACTCACCTAGACTCAGGCCTGTGGAGGCTCTGTTTGAGGTCAGGGCCCCTGGACATTCATTTTTTTTTATTTTAATTTTTTGAGCAACCAGAAATAGCTACATGCTGCGTGTGTTTGTTAGGAAGGATTCCCCATTAGCCCCTCCTGCCTTAGCCTTTTCTTTTTGTGCCTTCTCAAACTGGGGCCCATGTCAGCCTGTTGCTGTTCTAACCTCTGATGGAATGCGCTGGCAACCTGGGACAGCTATGGTTCTGCACAGAAAATTATTGAGGCTGTTAAAGCATCCACTACCAAACCCTAAGTCCACAGACCACTATGGAAATAGGAACACATCTGTTTGTTCTTCAGAGGCCGGGAACCAACAGAGCCAGCTGAGCTAAACTTCCTAGTTAGACCTTTGGCCAGGGGTTGGGGAGTGGATTTCACCATACCCTGTGTATATGCCCCAAGGTTGTGCAGGAGAAATTGCCATGGGGACAAAACCAAGGGACCCTCTTTTTTGTTTTAACCACTAGGCCCCAACACTGTGACTTCTCGTTCCTAGAACATGTCTTTTTCTTTTTTCCTCTTTCAAAACGGAAGTAAAAGATTAGCTTTGAATCTGACCAATCAGATGCTCATATAGGCCATACGGGAAAAGGAAGCAGGTTTGTGAGCTGGGAGAAGAGTTCCCGGTAACAGAGACAGGCTGCCTCCAATCGGGTGCTCCTAACAGATAGTTTGAACCAGACCAGCGCCTAGACACAGGTACAGCTGCTGGCCAGGTTCCAGCCATTTTCATTTGGCCAAACCAGAAAATATTGCCCAGCTTCTGCAGCAGAGTCCTGTAACTCCCCACACTGTGTCCTAAAAGCAGCAGACTCCATGCGACAAATAGAATCTATACCCAAACTCTTTTCAAGGACCTGGTACCACTTCTTGCCTCATGGGGAATCCCCGAGCAAAGCTCAGTCTGGTCTCTGTCCTTCTCTGACCACAGCTCCCAGACAGGGAAGGGCCTATGAGCTCAGACAGAAGGTCCCATCTGGGCCACCATTGCTTTGTAATAGGGACTCACTGTTTCTTGATGGGGAGTAAGAACAGAACAGTGAGAGCAGATGTCATGCAAAGATTGTTGACAGAAAAGGAGAACTCTAAACTCGACTCTGAAATCAGGGTGAGCTGCAGAGGGGAAGGGAGAAGAGCCAGCACCTCCAAGGGATGGGATGGTCCATCACGGGCGCCACCTAGCCATCTGATCCTCTGTACTTGTGTTCTGGAAGTGAGGACCAGCCCCTCCGTGGCTGGAAGTTTCACTGTTAGACTGAGGTTGGCCCTTGGGTGGCCGGAGTGTGTGCCTTAGGGTGGCTCATGGACCATCACTGCTGACAGCTCAAAAAAACAATGTGTTAGAAGAATGAGCCCCCTGGATTTCACACTAAAGAGGACATGGTCTGCACCATGCTTTCACAGACTGCCCCTCTGCTAAGAGGCCAGGGTGGGGGTTCTCAGAAGGTCTCGTGCTGGCTGCCATTTCCCTTTGTCACCCCTTTGGGTGGAGTTTGAAGAATCTATTAGAAGGGCACTGGTGCAGTGTGGTAGGTGTTTGGTCACTGCGACAAGTACTTGGCCAGACAAGGGAGGAAAGATTATTTGGGCTTGTAGTTTCAATTATTTTATCTCATGGATGACTGAATCCATTGCTTAGCTATGGGGCAGGGTAAACCACTTACTCCCTAAGGACCAGGATGCAGAACAACAGACAATGTCCTTCAGTAATATTCTCTTAATGAATGACTTTGAGCAAGACCCCACCTCCTAAATGTCACCAAATTATGGCTCCAGCAATGGATTAATCCGCTGATGAGACCAGAGTCCATTCACCTCTCAATGACTGGATCCACCAGCTGGGCACAAAGACTTCAACACTTCAGCTAATTGGGGACACTTCACATCCAAACCACACGGGGTCACCCTCACCCTAGCGGGGACCTGAAGAAAGAAACCTTGTTCCAAAGAAGGCCTGGATCTATAAACTGTGGGACACTTGAGATTGCTTTCTTCCTTTAAGGGCACAGAACCCCAGGGCGGGGCTTGCCTTACCAGGGGCTTTAGATTGTACTATGTTTTGTTGACTTGCATTTGTCTCCATTATCTATAGATGTGGGGGAGGAAGGAAGTGGGGCACCAGCATACAGGACAGGGCAGTGTTGGCCAGTGTTGGCAGGTGGCTCCCATATTTGCAGAGAAAGATGCAGGATTGTGGGGCTCTTCTTGGCTTCCAGTCCATGGTGGCCATGGCTATCTAGCAGGCCACCTCTACAGCTTCTTTCGTTAGTCTGCAAAGAGCACCCAGGATATCCTGTCCTGTCACGTGGGAAAGAGAGGAGGCAAAGCCTAGAAGCCAGTAGGAAAGGCAGACTTTGACAGCATAGTCACGCAGGAGGGCGAGTGAGCAGAGGAAGGAACATCTCTGCTTGGAGAATGGGTGCAGGCCTCACCGAGGAATGGGGATGCCAGCTGAGGCTTGAAACACACAGAGACATGAGCTGGGTGGTTGGGAGGGAAAGGGCCTCATAGCAGCAGAAAGCGATCACAGAGACCCACAGCAAGGAGGATTTGGCCAGCTGGAGGCTGAGGATACTGGGTGGAGGTTTGTCCTCGTGGTGGCCAGCCTGGCCAACATAGCAGAAGGAGGAAGTGGGCTGGGTACCCATTGCAAAGCCATTTTAAAGTGCATGGTGTCTTATCGGATTTTTGAAGGATGTGAAGGGGAGGCAGCTGACAACTCTGGGCCCTTTCAAGAGGAAAGGCCCATATAGGAGGAGGCAAAAGAAGTGGCCACCCTACTTCCCTCTACCCAACTGAGCTGTCACTCAGCAGGGATTGGTCAATGTCAAGCAGCCCAGGATAGGTGCCAGGTGACCCAGGCACAGGAAGACAGTCTGACTTGTCAGGGCTTTCCTTCCATCTCCGGGCTATAGCAGAAACATTTCCTTAATAGCCACCTCAGTTGTCCCAAGAGAGTGTTCTTCATCTTTGAATCTGAGTCCCAGATGGGAACTGGAGTTCATGAAGGAACCCTAGGATTGGGAGTCCTCGGGGTGGTCTGAGGGTGAGGTGAGAATTAAGAAGGACCCTGATTAGACTCTCTGGGACACAACGCAGCCTTCACACCCCCAGCAATCCTCTCTCCTACTCCCATAGAGCCAGGCCAGAGGCAGATGCCTGCTCTGTGCTCCTGTGGAAGCCCCACACCTCCACTATTGCTTTGTGGTCTTGTTACCGAACCTGCAGGTCCTCTTTTCCCTTTTGTACCCATTGGCAGATCCTCCAGCAATTCTGAGAACCCTCAGGAAACTGCATCAGTGGCCAGTGAATGAAAGGGAAGGGACACCTTTAGAAGCAGCTTCTCTGACAGGCCTGAAACCTTAAGGTGTTTTTCTAGTAGAGAGTTGTGAGGGTGTGGTGTGCACTCTGTTTGACATTGTCAAAGCTCTTCTGGGAAAGGGAGCCTTTATGGACCAGGCCCTACCTCCTTCTTCCTACCCTAATTTGGCTGGATCTGTTATGGAGATGGTGGGTGTCTTTTAGAATGAGATGATTATGAGCCCAAGAGAGTCTGGAGGGTTAGTGGCCTGGGAGATACCTAGGTGGTCCAGTAGCGTGTGTGGTCATCGGCATCTAGTTGTTACTCCAGAAAGTGAACAGCATCTGGGAGAGATCACCAGGTCCTGGGATTTGAGGGTTAGCCCTGGAAAAATCCCTAAGCTACTTTGCCTTTGCAGTGCCTACTGCATGAGGCTGTGATGAAGGCTGATTGGGTACTTACCAGGCTTGGACAGAGCCGGTCCCCACAATGGTGCGCTGTAGGCGCTGTGCTGTTGGGAGACATTGCATCATGAGGGTTGGATTACAACTGGGTGGGAAGAGCTGTGAGGGTGGTAGGCACATCCCTCAGGGAATGGGGGAAATAGAAGTGGCATAGAGAATGGGCCAGAGGCCTGGGAGTGCAGCATCTGTGTCTAAGGAAGAACCAGGAGTGTTGGGGGGTGGTTAAGGCCACTCTGTAGAAGGTTCTACCCCTCACTTCTGCCTTCTGTCCATCTGACATATGGCAGGCTGGACACTGGGTTGGAAAAGTACAGTAGACAACAGGGTAAGCAAAACACAAGCCTTTTTCTACTGTAAGCCTCAAGGAGCAGAGAGTTGGTTAAGATAAAGGCCGTGTCACACACGGTGGTGCTCAGTGGGCTGCAGCTAGATGGGCCGAGGAGGTAGCCTAGCCTCTTAAGACCTCTTTCAGCAGAGGATGCTTTCCCATATTCCAAGAAGAGAAGCTGGGGAGGAGTCCTGAGGTGCCAAGACCCCACTCATCCCCAGAAATATGGCCTCACATTAGCCCGTCATCCTCCAAAGGTCAAGTTGGACGCTAGGAAGAATGGAGTGAGAAATGTGTCCTGCTCATTGTCGGTTACTGCTGTATCCTCAAGTTTTCCCCTCTCAGATCTCAGAGACCCTCTCTGCCTACACAGATTCAGTCTTCCTAACTGACCGCAGCAGAAGAGGTAAGCTCTGGGCCCCACAGGCCCTCAGCTTGTGTCTGTTGAAGGAATAATGTGTACAGAAAGTTCCTGCGAAGCCTGGTCAAGGCAAGGTTTCCAGAACCAAAGAACGAGCGAAAGGCAGATGATCTGGCTCCCTTTCCCTGACATCTCTTGCAGAAGCACAGGAAACGAGACCTCTGCTTTTTCCGCTCAGGAACTGCAGGCTCTTGTCTGGCATCAGCCGGTGACTCAAGAAGTCTTAGACCCCTGAGTTAAAATGATCCTGTCTAACTTCTCTGGCCTGCTGCTCTATGCTGAATGAGTGAGTGGGCAGAAGAGGCACAGGGCTCAGGCAGAAGAGGCACAGGGCTCATTGGAGCCAAGGACACACCAGCTGATAGACATCCCTCGGACGAACGCTTCAACTGCAGTGTATTTAGCTGGGGGCAGACAGGTGGAGAAGGAAGGCTTCCTCAGACATTCCCTGAGAGGAACTGGGGTAGGCCCTGGCAGCCTCATGAGTCTCGGGGAAGAAGGGACCTGAGTATGCAGAGGAGGCCGAGATGGCCAGTGTTATTCAGGCTTCGCCGTAGAGGGTGGGGCTGCTCAGAGAAGAGAGCAACAGCAAAGAGTAAACCCTACAGCTTCAACACCTCTGGCCATTCAGAGGCCCTCATGAATGGGCTGTCTAACCCTTGCCCTCCTCCAGGGCACACAGTCTGGCTTCAATGGAGTCCCGGGGCGGCCTTCACTCAGCAGGTGTCCTTGGCTATGCGGGCAGAACTGGGCTTGAATTTCTGTGTTTTCTGTTTCATTCTGTGTGCCGCTGAGCCCTGCATCAAGCCAACCAGCCTCTTGTCACTGCAGCTGTCCAGCAGACCCTGAACATGGGTCGTCAAATCCCTTCCCAGGGGGGCCTTGTCTTTCATGCTGTCTCTGATTGGAGTGTTAGGTAAAACCCACTTCGCAAAGGGAGTGCGGTATCATATCCTGCTTCTGGAGAAGAATACAAAGTTGGTGTCATCCTCTAGACATGGGGGAGGGGTATCTCTAGCAAAGAGAGTTCTTTCCGGGGGGTGGGGATCTACAACATTGAGAAGCAGTTTCATCCCATTGGCCCCCTCATTCATTCATGAATGAAATAAAAGCCCTGATCACATTCACGGGATCTTGAATGAATCAATTCTAATTTTGAAACCTTTTTTCTTCAATTATCTCATCAGCCAGTGAGGCCAGAGATGAATGATTCTGGCCTGGGTGATTCGAAAGACTCTAGGAAGGCAGGAATGTCGGTCTGAGGGTCTGAGGCCGTGGAGTAGTAATGAGAGCCAATGGGGCTGGGCTAGATGCTTCCCCTTCCCAGGTCAGAGGGGCTTCTCCGCTTTGACCAGCACGTTTATCTGCTGTCTCTGGTTCCCAGATGGAAATCCAGTCCTCCTCACAGCTGCAGAAGCCACAGGATATCCTGGGTGGCCGGAGTGTTGGGAGCTGTGACAGATTATGTCCAAAAATGCAAAGCAGAAGTCTTGGAGAGTGGGTCAGTCTGACTAGGTAGGGGGACAAGAGTGAGATCTTGTTTCCCCTTCCCCCTCCAGGGATCCTTGACTTAGGATCCCATGTACAGAGAGAGCCCTGTGGATCTGGGATCTACTTCCTGGAAAGTTCTCCCCCAATGCCTCCCTAAGGCCTGTTGGATGAGAGCTAGGCTGAGGGATAGCAGCCAGGGCCCTCTCCCCTACTGAGAGCACCTGAGTGTGTACCTCCCTGGCCTGGAAACTGGGAAGCTGCTCTGGAATAGTGGCTACTTTTGTCCCTCAGAGAGGAAGGTATAAGATACTGCTGCACCAAGAGGCTACCAAGCTGTTTGTCTTGCTCATGTGACTTTCCAGGCAAGTACCAAAAGAGAGCAGAGAATTAAAAGGTTCTGGCCTTGTGCTACTATAGGGTTTTGGCATGTCCTTTCCAGAGCAGTCTCTGTCCTGTGGGGCTCCGAGATGCCTGGGATATGGGGTTTGGCAATGTATCATTTGTTATCTCTTAAAGGGACAGGGTACCCAGGTGACAGACCAGGCCAGCAGATTATAACAGTTCTTTTTCTTATAATAAAAAGGTGGGAAGATAGGCCTAGCAGGTTGAGGGAATTGGGACGGTGGACTATCAAGACAGTTTCAAGTTTATTTGTGGGCCTCATCTTGGGGGGGGGGTGCTGAGAAAGCTGGGTGCTGATCACATCTTGAGGTAGCTGGTCACTTTATTCCTGTCCAGGGTTTGTGGTATGGAAATGTCTGGTGTCTTTTGGACCTGGCAAGGTATTGGCAGAGCAGAGGACAGAGTTAAGTCTAAGAAGAAAAAAAAAAATTCAGGACCAGTGAATTGAGAGCGGTGTATCTGGCCCACGAAAGGTGGACCCTTCATTTCGGCTTCCTGAAACTCACAAAACATAAGTTTAAACAGCAGCATATTTATGTCAGAATGACTGTGACAGATGTTTTTGCACAATGAAAAGTATTTGTAAGACTATGCAAGGCAGCATGAGAGATAAATTTGATAACTTATATTTGTCCTCACACCTTTGTAACTTACAGGTACACATTTTAGTAATTTGCATTTGTATATTTTAAAATATCTTTTATTTAGAACATATTAGAAGTCATACTGAAAGTTGTTTATAAAGATGTTGTCCTTTTAAATTGACAGAACTTCTCAGTTGTCAAACTACCTACATCAGAGATCTTTGAGAAGGATAAAATTTTACTTGAGGAGTCATTGATTTAAAAAAAAAATTACAAGAAACTTACTCGGTTGTCTACCTAGAGCCTCTCCTCAGGGTCCTCTATGGTCGTTGGGGGTCAGATTTGCCTTTTGTTGTTAAAAGCAGGGCTTGCCAGACTCCAAAAGATCCTGTGTCTTAGAAAATCTGTAGGAGGACAAGCCTGCCTTGACCTGAGCAGCTAGGCTGTCAATTCCAGTGATTCTGTCCACTGTCTGGAGATATTCAGTTTAGCGGAAAGGCAATTTTGCCCATTAGCGCTTTCACTTGAAGCGAATTGCAGATGGACGTTGTTCTGTACCCATCTGTCTTCTGTCTTCTTTGGAGAAAATAGGGTGCTGCTGCTAGGAGCCAACCTGTCTCTCTGTTATGAAAAGTCCTTTAATAATTAAACAATTAAATTGGGAGAAGGGGGATGGGGGGAGAAGAGAGAAAGGCAGAGAGAGAAAAGAGGGAGGGGGGGAGAGAGAGAGAGAGAGAGAGAGAGAGAGAGAGAGAGAGAGAGAGAGAGAGAGAGAGAAGCTACTTCTTCAGAAGAGGGATAGAAAGAGAGAAAGCAGGTTGGAGAGGAGGCTGGAGATCTGCTTGCCTCAGTGAAAGGAGGGGTTGGTAGGGGCTTGTCTTGTGTGTGTATGTGTGTGTGTGTGTGTGTGTGTTTGTATTGGTTGTTTTTATTGAATATGCACAATAAAAAAGCATGAAAAAAGTCATTGATTTACAAAGGGACTCTCTCTAAAATTCAGTTAATGCTTTCTCCTGTCCCACACTACCGTCTCGCCAGCAAGAACGACGCAGCACAATCAGGATCCTTCTGCAGAAAAGCTTTAATGTGTCTTGAGAGGGAGAGCATAAGTTTACAAGGCGGAGACCCCAAGGAACAAAAACCCAACCCTTATATAGGTTAACAGTCCCCGCCTCGGATGTGTCACACCCCGACTGGCTGCAGCTTGTCGGCCCATATGATGCCATGGGAGAGGCAGAGAGCAAGGGATGGAATTTTACCATGCACATACGCACTGGCTTGATTACGGGGTGATGCTGCCGGATGTCAGCACCATCTTGTAATGGAGTATGTGGGAGCGGCCCCCCACATCTCCCCCTTTTCATTTAAAAGCAATCAGGCTTTCCCAGGCTATGAGGGTAGAGACAGTGGTTGTACTTCCCAATGTAAAAATATGTGAGACGTGTACGAAATCTATCCCTAGATTCATTGAACCCAGGATGCTTTTGACCTGCCCTCTGCCATTTTTTCTGGGAAAGGGAAAATGAGGCAGACAACCCTTATGCAGAACAACTTGCCTCTCAGAGAGAGCAACTCTCTGTGTGATGCTCTTAGCTCAACACCCCTCTTGGGAGGCCAGACTGAACACCCTACCCTGTGCAATGAACCTAAGTTCCGGGTGTGCAAGGGCTGTTCAGTCGGCAGCCTATTGCTTGAGCATAGATAGCCAGATATCAGTGGAAGCCCCTTGTTCTAGGGCGACCAAAGCCTGTGCAATCATCACCTTGTCTCTTTTGTTTTGGGTTCTGAGCTTACAGACCAGCCAGAGAAGAAACACTATTCTACAGCAAATGACT